CATCACATCACATCACATCACATCACATCACATCACATCACATCACATCACATCACATACATACATCAATTTACAATATATCTACCATCGCTTAAATGCATGCTTCAGGCAGAGGGAATTATACCCGTCTCCCAGGGGCCCCACAAACCATCAAATACCTGGTTTTCTATGTGAAAACTGTTCATGGTTTTGAGGGCCCCTGGTCAGCCTTGCCGATTTTGCAAGCATTCTGTACCATCCGCCCGGCTCGCACGCCCGAGCCATGTCGCGAGAGCGCAGTCGAACACCTGCACAGACGCTTGGACGTCGGGGAGGGCCGAAAACTGGTTTCCCGCGCGTGCATGGCCAGGCTATGGCAGACCCATAGCCAAAGAACAGATCAGATGAATGGTGTGGAAAGGAGTTTCAGAAATGTGCCAGGGCGGTGCTCTTCATAAGGCCTATCAGTTTTGGGGGACAACATACTTCCCAATGCAGGGCTCAGTGGGCCCAAAAAGAAGTGAACGATTAGAAGGATCGATCTGACCTGGAAGCTTCGGAAGGTGGAGATGTGCTTGCAAGGGTTGGAGAAGCCGGTATGTATGCTTGAGCTTCCAACCACCACGGTATTTAGTGAACCTTGCACACTCAGATATAAAAAGCAGTCCAATTTCTGGCACACCTGGGGGAAACTCACCACACTATACCACACTACCGGTGCTAAGAACAACCTGGCCCTGTCCGAGTGCACTGAGGGAAGCGATCCTGGTGCGGGCCGGCGGCTGAGATCCCCGGATATTTTGGGTGGACCATCGACCGACGCGAGTCGTTCGAAGTTCGAAGTGTTGGATTGGCGACTCCGAACGAGGCATCGACAGAGGCAGATGATGTGGGTTCATTATGTGCGTGTGGATCGACTCATCATGTGCGTATCCTCGCCTACTCGTTTCTCCTCGGTCGAGGTGTGCAGCATTTCGGGATGCTGCGTCTTGGAGCGTCACTTTGATCCACTCCAGTCCCTTGAAGCCGTGAAGTCCGCGCTGCGGGAGCAGGCGGACACACGACATGGAGCAGCATGCTGAAGCGAACATGCTTCGGCAGTTCGGGATCAGTGGTGTTTGTCCTGCTTTGTTTTGCCGGTGTTGTTTGGATGGGAGGCCTGCTGTTTTGGGCGTGGAACGAGGTTAGACATACGGTTGATGGACATCCTACACCACTTTGTGCCCGTGTCTCATCCTATCCTCGTGCGAAAACTCGTTCACATTGGGCCGGCTCTCGTGCGAACACGAAAAAGTTGAAAGTTCAAAATCTTGCACCACCTGGTGCAAGCCCTAGTGCCAACATTGAATGTGGGGGCACTATGTAACCCTTGTGAAGTGTATGGGTCAGGTGGTGCAGGATTTAGTCCATCAACAGTGTCAACTAGAATGCCTGGAATGTACAAATATCATGAAGAGCCCTGACGAGCATCATTTGCTCAATAATTTTCCATGGGCGGAGTGCTAGCTATTACTAACATACTTCAATCCTTGCAAGTGCTTGGTTTTTGCCATGGTCTAGGCTGTTTGACCTATCATGTTGAACCTTAGCTCCAGGAGTTGAACCTCCTGCAGCTGCGGCTTTTTCAAGATGCCAAAGAGTTAAAGGAGGTGAGCCGGCCACCGTGTGATTTTTCGTGTGAGTTGGGAGAGCATGGCTGACGGAGGCGCCTATATCCTTCAACCTCGGAAGGCACCCCAGATACTTGAAGGCCCGACTGCAGTTGGCCATTCTATAGTCCAAAGAAATCAAATTAACAGCGATAAGAGAGCCGAATGCGGTGGCAACTTCTAAAACAACTGCATCGCTGTGAAGCAGTCCATGTTGGGTTTAACATTACATGTTCAACTCTTTCCATCCGTCCTGGCGACATTGCCTGGTCAAAGAACGCATTATGTTAAAACGCAACTAACATGGGCCCTTCCCTCTGGTACAGTCGATCTGACAAAAGCAAGGGCAGGTGATGGGTAGACCCACTAAGTTCCAACCGCTCAAAGTCCAATCTGACGGGCGGAAAGCAAACCCAAATGTCTAGAGGAGGAATTCCATTTGGGAACTTCCCTGTGAGCTGATCTGTCCAAAACATCATGGTTGGATAAGGTGGCTCAGCAAGTGAGTACGACGTTTTATCCAAGGTCCAATTCCATCAAGATGTTACGCTTTGCAAGTTGAACTTCCGAGTCGAAATCGCTGGTTTCCCTCAACGCCTCGCGCACAGGACTGCTGCCTGCAAGCGTTGTGCGAGCGAGGTGCCGTTTCGATCCGTGTCGCACGTGGGTGGATTGTTTCCACATGCCAGCGGAGGAAGATTTGAGAGTTGACGGCCCCCGAGCCCAAATGACGATGTTGGGGCCTTTATTTCCAGAAAGTCACCGGCCTGGTAGAAGGACCGGCCGCAACCATTCGCTGTATCCCAGGCGCGCGGCTTCAGCTCACCTTGGTGAAGGTCACGGCAGCTTTGGCCGTCACGGCTCATTACAATGGATCTTTGCGCCTTGACCGCATGCATTTGTTGTAAATTGGGCTTGTTTGGTCGTGAGTTCCAGCAGCAGAGCTGAAACTTGAACTGTCTTGAACTACTCATGCCAAGATGCACCATGATGAACCAATAGATAAGGATAGATAAGGATGGGTCTCATCTGGGATTGGGCAAACTCAGAACTTGCTGGATTGGCTCTTTAGAGCTTCAATCGGAATGCCCGCCGTCGTTTTCGCTCAAGGCTCATCATATGTTGCCAAGAAGCGCCTTCAAATCTTGGACGCCTCAAATATGTGCGTCACATCACTCCACATGTGTCGTTCAAATTCCTTTTGTTACCAATTCCTCAAAGAGACTCTTCAGCCATGCTGTGGACCACCTTCCTCTTCTCGCTGCTCCTCCACTCCACTGCAACGTTCAACTCCTGGCCGGTGCCGCCAGAGACCACGGAGGAGCAACGTGCGGTGCTGCAGAGGGCGATCCAAAAAGCCAAGCAGGCCAGTGAGGAGGCTACGCCGAAGGTGGGCGAAGCGCATGCGGAGCGGGACGCGGGATGCGTGGGGGAGGGCGGGGCGCGTTTCGAGCTTTGATGGGTTGAAGTGATGTGTGGATTTTTTTGGTGGGGAGGGGGAGTGGGGGTTGAAGCTCGAACACCGATCAATTAAATTAGAAGATTTCCTGAATGTTGTGTCTTGGGTGTGATCCACTGACACCCCAAGCGGGTTTGGGGCTCGGCTTGCTTCTCAAGAGCAACGATTTAAACCAAAGCCGTCCAAAGTCCAAAGACCAGAAAGAATTGTTTGCTTGAAAGGGTCTTTTCATGTCCTTTCTCGTCAGCCAGCGGTTTTACGGTTCAACATGTCCAGAGCAATTGGCGAAAAATCCTGTCCACCAATTAAAAAAAAACACGCCCCCCCCCCACTGGGCCCCCTACCCCTATTAAGAAAAACTCGGTCGCATATTTTTTAATATCCCTGAAATTGGGGGGGTCCAAAATAGGGTCACCTGGGAAGAGCTTCAAAGCCAAAAAGTCACCCAGTAAATTTTTGTATAAGCCTTTTGTTAAACTCATATCAAAATTCAAAAAACCTCCAGATCGAAGGGTCTTCTTTTCCCCCTACAAAAACCCTTATTAGAATACTGATTCTTCATTAGACCAACAACTAAAGCTTTTGAAAGGTGATGTCACCGTGCCACGCGGTGTGTCATGGTGGATAGACAGGGCGGACACAGGTGGGCAGTTACGGTATGTTACGGTTGTTTTTGGAACCTTAAAAAAAACTACCCCCACAAGCGACCATGTTGGTAGTTTAGTAGCGGTTTGAATCGGACGTAATTTAAAAGCAATTATAAACCGTATTTAGGGTTTCGGACATGGTGTTTTCTTCTTTATGGGGAGGCATTTTTTAATAAGTACTCGGCATTAAGCGCAACCCTCATGCTTAACACTTTTTGGGGGGGGCGGGCAGTTGACCAACACAACTGATGATTTGACTCAAGCGCAGCTTGCCAACGATCGTTCGATCATGGTGACACTCATATTGTCGGCGACCTATGTAATTGCTGCAAATTTCCAAGGTGTTGGATATACTTGCAGTGGTCACGAGTGTCGAGAGAAGTTAGTTGGAGGATGTACCGCGAGTGTTTGTGTGCCCACCATTGGCTGACCAGCAGAGAGTACCAATGAACCTGCGCTGCGCGGCGCAGGTTTTGGACTTCTTCAACTCGGACGGCTTCCGGAAAATGTTGCAGGACGTGGTGTGGCGGGGATGTGCACCAGCCCACCGCCTTGATGCCCCGAGGAGGAACATGAACCGAAGAAGTAGAGCCCTTTCGCTGATAGTGAAGACCCTCACCAAAGAAGAACTGCATGGGTAGCAGAACTGATCATTTAAGTGACCAGAAGTGAGCTAATTTCATCAGCCCCAGGGGCACGAGAGTGGCACGATGTACCATGCACAGTCACGTTGGGATTCATGAAGCTGCCTCCCAGAAAAAGAAGACAGACCCAAAGATACAAGGATGGAGTGCAACAAAGGCACCATAAGACTACATGTGGTGCCTGGACGGAGTGGTGGCTTATGGTGCCATAAGTGGCTCAAAAGAGATTCCCCTCTCTTTTGGTGTCGCTACTGGAGGTCATCGTTCCTAGGGTGGCATGCGGAGGCCAGTGCTACCTTATTTGGTTGGAGATTGGCTTTCTTTTGGTGTCTTCTTTGACAGGACTGCTGCCCTGCTGTCGCCCAGCTGAGCAGTGAGGAGCTCTTGAGGCGCTACCGCGCGGAGGCACAAGTGGCGGAGCTGGCACATGCCTTGCCGGCCAGAGATGCTGGGCGTGAACCGATGTCATAGATTCTGTGTGGATAAAGTCATACAAGCACCTGCTCGGTATTCGAATTTCAGGGTCATCCGTTTGGGGCCATGCCATCCACTTCCATGCTTGTTCCAGAGAGTGTACTGTACGTCATTTGGGCCCTGAGGCCCCTTGATGTCAAGCCATCCATTCTTTGTTGTAATGAAGTAGTTCGGCACCAGGCTTGCCATAGAGTGAAGACAATGAAGGCAAAGAGACCAGACTCACATCTCATCAGAATCAAAGAGAAACACGTGCAAAGTTCATCATGTTCACTTCATTTTGATCCATTTTGTGTGTGTGCTAGTAGTAAGGGGATAATTTTAGTTGTCCCAAGATGGCTTTTGCGTAAAGACACGGTTCTAATATGTTCTAATTCTACATGTTCTTGGACTTTGACCATGTTGACCTGAAATGTTGTGTCCAAACAAGTGTGGACCACCTTCTGGGGAGGTTCTCGGGGAGGTTCTCGGACCAAGGGAGGTTCGATCTCCAAGAATCGCTCAGGACCAGGATATTTTTGCAGACGTGACCATCCAAGAGTTGGCCCAAATGGCGTGGTTCCCCAATGAGTTCCAGGTGGCATTGATGCACCACAGCAATTTGTCGCAGGGAGCCTCACCCATCAACGACATGGCGCAGAAAGAGATTTTTGGATGCAAAGCCTTTGCTGGAGCTGTACCTACTTGGTCGGAAGTCTCGAATCGCTTGATCTACATTGCGCACAACATGCAGCGCTTGGACACAGGTTCAGAGCCCTTCTTCGGTGCCCTGGGATTGCTCAAGTTGATTGTTAAGCCTTATCAGTTTCTCCTTTTGCGAACGCTGTCTTGGGGAGATGATTTGGGGAAGTAGTTCTTAGTTCTTCTGTTTTGAGCAAGTCGAAGGAGACTTCACAGTGGTTTTCAACAGTAGCCGGATGAAGGACTCAGTGCTCATCGCACCATATGACACCGGTCTCTACACCATGGTGTGCTTAGGGGCGCCGCTGCCATCTCATTTAAACAAGTCGGACCTGCCACCCTTAAACTGCAGCGCTTGGCCGAGAGATCTTCCTGTGGGAACTCTGGAATACTTGGACCACTTGATCCTACCAAATCTGCGGGTCCCTGTGAACAAGAGCTCCGGGAATGAAACCGTGTTGCAGGTGGTTCGGCCTTGAACAACTCGTGAAACCGTGCCACGCAAACAAACGGTATCAGAACCTGACTTTCGAGCCTTGGGGGTGTTTCGGTGCATGTTAACAGGCAAAGGCCTCAAATGCCCATGTCACCGCTTGCCCTCCCTTTGTCTTTTCACTTTCTGAACTCGCCTGCCCTGGAGGTGGCCAGGAATTTGTACACCCGAAGCAGCATGTCGGAGATCGGCTATGAAGACATGCCATCCCTTCAATTTGTGGACATGGATGGCTATTTAGAGTCGCCTGACAAGCCAGTGGTTTGCAAGTGATGGTCGGTTGTGCATTGACTGGTTCCTTTCAACAGTCCCTCTTTGCATCTATGGCCACATGTGGTCAAACAAATCATCATGGGACAGGCGCTAAGATGCGGAACCAAGTGACAATAGACAGAAATAATTCGCTCGACTTCCAACCTGCACTCGAAACCCTCGCTGTTTTGTTCATATTTGTTCTAAACTTCTTGATGTTAGAAGCTGTTGCCCAGGTCGGATATCATGGCCAACCCTCGGCTTCCCTCCTCGGTGAAGCTGGGCATTGGCAACTTCCCCACGCTCTTCGGCACGCCTTATGGCCGCGACGTACAACACATGGCCCGAGCATTCCAGTGGCCACTCTTCTGGGCCTTCGGCGCTGGCATGGTGAAGACACCTCAGCACTTGCACCCAGGTGCGCCGTGGGGATGGGACGAGGGGACCGCATTCCTTTCCATTTAGACCAAGTGATGCTCATCGGTTGATACTTCATGATACTTCCAGGTGTCATGGAGATATATGGAGATTGAATGTATATTGATATTGTATTGACGTTTTCTGTTCCACCGTATGAGGTGAGTTCTACCAGATGAATCGCCGCATCGCCGACCCCTCCAACATTCCGCTGACCACCAATGCCTCCCTCCACGGCGCGGAAGCCGCGGCCGCCGTGGCCAGCTTCGAGGCGCTGTGGAATGAAGCCGCCCAGGTGCGCCAGAGCCGGAACGCCACAGCAGAGGCGCGGCAAAAGGCTTTTGGGGGGTTGAGAGGAGCTGCTTTTTTGATAATTGTATCAGTATCATCTGTTTTCTGAGGGTAAGGGTGAATCCATGGGGAAGGTCCAAGTTCCTGGGTTGTCTTTCGACCACAAGGGAAGGTCGAAAGCTTGCGCAACTTCAAAATGCAGAGCTCGGCACAACCATGGTGGCAAAAGTAGATAAAGAGTTTGTACCTGAGTTTGGCCTCATTGAGAAATAGCCTATGCCAACAGTTGGACCTTGAAACTGCAAGACTTGCTGAATGTCAGTCTGATGCATGAACTCTTGAACTTCAAGACTGAAGCCAAGGAGACCCCCAAGGAACGTAAATTCATTGATAATTGCTGTTGCTCGTTTGAATCAGGGTCGGCAAAGCACCTTAGTATATTTGAGTGCCACAATATGCTACTGTAGAGTCCCCACACTAAAATTCCCACCCCCAACCAAGTGTAGACAGCAGCAATTTTGACATGAACTGCCTTCAATAGGCGCCAACAGAGTTTATGCAGGAACACTTTGGGACACATTGGAAGGAACAAGCAGTTGAATATACAACAGATGTACTTGGTTGCAATTAAAATTGTACATGGTAGTGGGGCAGTGATCTTCAACCGATCCAGGTGAGCTCCTAGCAACAAAGGACAGAACACAACAGAGACCAGCAACAAGCACGAAAGAGAACAACTTCCTGATGCAATCAAGATTGAAGTCTTGCTCAACGACACCAAAGGACCATTACAACAACATGTTCAATGACAAGCAAGAACCAACCCACATAGTTTTGCACATTGACCATGCGATACTGCAGGTCCATTACAGCATTCTCCAAGATGCAACATCAACAGCAACAAGCAGCCTCATCCAGCCTAGCTGCCAACTTTGGCGGTGGCTTTGCACCAATGGATGTGGGCAACATCAACAAGGAAAGTAAAAAGGTTGAAAATAGGGTACGACAGCGAAGGACAAGGCAAGTGACAAAGGAGTTGACAAAGGCTACAACAAAACGTTACCAAATAAAATCTATTTGAAGAACACTTGTGCATATGGAGCTTCGAGTTAGTTACAGTCTTATCATTACAATATGGGACCACCAAGTACAAGTGAATTTTACATATGGCATACCCGACCAAGCATCCAACTACATCCAACCAACCACAACCAACCATGCCAAAGCGTGTGTTTCTCGAAAGCGTGAGGATTTACTGCATTGGTGGAACTCTTTGAGTCACCAGCTGAGAGTCGAGCCAATCTCCGCCACCTCCTGCGCTTTGCCCCACAAGTGCGTGGCAGTGGAGCTAAGGACGAAGCCGTGGACCATCGTGGACCTTTTCGGAAAAACACCATGGGTCCACCCATGGGTCCACCGGTTTGTTCCCGTTAGATTGGTAAAGATCCTTTGGCCTCATCATTCTGCTATGAATTGACTGGGCAAAATACATCGGCATAGCCGATCCGGTCACAGTCACAACCTCCGGCTTGGCCGGAACCACCGTGTGTGTTTGGCATCCATCCGTTGGGGCCCCCGCTGCACCCGAAGTAGGCTCGGTGCCTCACAGCCTCGGTTTGGGAGTGGTTTGTCGGAATGACAGTGATTGGATGGAGTAGATGGAGTAGATGGCACAAACCCCAAGATCCAAGAAGTTTCGTTGAGATTCTTATAGGGTCCTTGACCTGTAAACCTGTGTTATGTCGGATTGTGCCATCTACATACTCCATATTTTGCTTCCATGCTAGTGAGTCAGAGAGTAGTTGTGGAAAGCTGGGAGCCCATGTCGTTGCACGTCTCGATGCCACGACAGGACGAAGGACTGCATTTGTGTCAAGCCGGACACCGACACCACCTTCTTCACCGTCTGAGTGTGAACGGTTGGTGTGGTGAGCCGCTCAGGAGTTGACGGTGCGCACTTGGTGCACCTGAGGTTGGAACTCGTCTTAGGAGTTGACGTGCAGAGCCTCCTTGAAACAGTCGTCATAGCCTGCATCAGCCTTTAAACTCTTTTGGAGCTTGCCAGCTCGCGCGACAGCAAAGCAAAACGAGCATCGATGGATAATATATATCCTATAGTCATAGTGATATTATATAATTAAATATATATGTGTGCGCGTGTGCCCACCGCCGCTGAAGCTTCCTGTCCTTCATGTTCAGCAAACCCAAGATCCATCAGACATGTGATGTTTCAATCGATTCCTGAGTCCCCGGGGGCACTTTCCCTCAAGAAGGGTGATTAACAGAGAGCCACATCTAGACATGACTGTATGTGCCTTCCAACATTCTTCGCCCTGAGACTGGACATCTCCGCATCCACTGACTACACTGGGAGTGGCACTGAGAAAACTACCCCGAGACTCACATCTCCAGGCAGCTCTGGGACTTGGACGGCCGGTGCCTTCGCACCATGGGGTCGTCAGGTCCAGGCGGGAATGGTCAGCTGGTGAGGGGAGGTACAGGAAGGTCAACCTTCGGGTGGCCGGAAAAGATTGAACATCAGTGGTTTAACCAACGCAGTCCCTGTGTCAGTAACATCCTTCGTTTTTGGCCTCGTAGTGTAAGCGCTCTACCTAGCAGAACCTTCGCATTCCAAATTCAGCAAACCACCCTAAATTGCTGTTGAAGTGGACCGGTCGGGAGCGGTTAGGCTCACTTTCTTGGAGTTCCGAACAATTTGACAGGTCGTTTTTGGACCATTGGTGGCCATTCTGGCTTCCTCGTTGATTGTACCATATTGTGTTCCTAGCCATGGTTCCTATCTCGTTGGACACCTGCTTCAACTTACCTGTTCCAACTGCCAGTTTTCAGCCATTACTAGTAGAAGAACACCTTCATTCAAGAACACAATATATCCCAATGCAATGCAATGCTGTGAATCTATTGTAATATGTATGTATGTTCTATATATATATATAGAACTTGCTTTAATCCAGCGCAAACCATTTTTTTGGTGGTCCTGTTGGGAGTTGTTGTTTTTTAGCTTACCTCAGAAAGATACCAATGGAACGTACTCGCCATTGCCATCATTGCAGTACGTTCCTGGTTGTTCCTCCTTTGTCATTCCATCCGACGGCCCGTTTTGCGTGAGGCGAAGCCAAAGAGCTTCAAGTCACCGGCTCCTCAGCAAGCACATGCTGCACCCGAGAGGGAGGATGGCAAACCCCATGGGGCTTCCCGCTGAACCTTAACAAAAACGACCAAACAGATGAGGTCCGGCTTTTGCCAAACCATCCCCCGAATCGTCGCCAGTCGCAGCTCTGAGGTTTGGAGGTCGATTGGTCCACCCGTCGAGCCTTAACAGGTAGGGCGTTGGGTCCGCGGGAGCGACTGCGAAGGGTTTCGGAGGGTTCGGGGACTGCTTAGAATCAGGACGGTTTTGGGGTGCTTTGGGCATGATGGAGTGTAAAGCCACATCAGCCAGAGCATGTGTTTTTTTCAAAGAGGTGGGAATTGCTTCTTTTCAATTGAAGCAGCAGACATGTTGAGCTACTTTCTCGAATTTCAGGCTGTTCCTTGCGGATCAAGGCATCCATTTAGCTCCCATGAGTCCTAAGAATTCAAGGAAGAAATCCTTGACTCTACCTGGGGGAAGACTGGAAAACTTGATTGTGAGTTTTTGGGGGGCCCATCACCATGATAAAGTTGTCCATCGCATCGACAGAAGGGTTTAGCTCCATGAATCCTAATAGTCATAGTGCTCATCTCTTGCAATAATGAGATAGCCACCGCTGGGTGTTTCAGCTGATGGATTTTATGCTTGCGAGTTTGATGCATTCGCACGTCAATGTTGCCAAGATGGTGTTTTACTTAGATAGTGTTTGTATACTCTGACAAGGACCTTGCAGGTTGGTAACCCTCTTGAGTTGCCACACCACACAGGGGAAGCAGAATCTGCTCGCGCTTGAAGGTGACCTCTACCATGAGGTGCGATTGTGGAACTTGGAGGAGGGGCGGTGTGTGCATCGAAGCTCGGATGAGTTATTAGCACTGATGGCTCGTGGAACTTGCTGAGATTGGAACGTGTACAGATGTCTACACGGTGCTACTCGCTGCACCAGCGGACGTGAGTGCCATCCATATGAGTACTCGACAGAATTAGTGTAAGTCAGCAGTAGTCTTTGGCTGGACATCGTTTTTTTGAAAAAGTGATGTGATGGCAAAACCAGTAGGGGCCCACCCAAAACCGATACCCTCTAACATGGGTGATGCCCACCCAAAACCGATACCCCAAAGAGTTGCAGATGTAATTATAAGACAACCTGGGACCGATACCACTCAGTCAATTACATGTAAAGAGATGCCGAAACCTCAAAACCGATAGGGGCCCACCCAAATTAAGAACGTCCGTTACGGGTCATGAGTAATCATATTCCGACACTCATATCCATCCGTCATCGAGTCATCCGCGTCGGCCATGCCTCCGTTCGACGTGGTTCTTCCCCGGGGCAGATGGGCTCGTGGGACCGTCGTCCCGGTGGGAGAGCCACGTCGTCACCGAGGTATGCCTGGCCATGGCGACATGATCCGTGGAGCGGTTCGGTCTGCAGTTCGACGGGTCGAAGACGGAGTGACCGGTGCGAACTGGAACAAGGAACAAGGACAACAAGGGTGTTTGGGATCCAAAGGATCTCAATTTAGAGTGGAATCTGGAGGGCTAAAGTTCCATCAAGTTCCCTCATTCCCTGCGAGTCGCACCAGGGTTTGCTGATGGTTTCCACATGTTTCAACTGAAATTGTCCACCTGAGTCCGTCGCCAGTCAACTGGCTATTGGGTCTATTGGATTGAACAAGGTTGAAATAATGGTGGACTTGTTTGGAGGGAGTCTTGATTCAACTCGTTGATGTTTTTTCTCCCAATTGCCAATGATTCCAATGTGACACAAGAGTCTAGAAATACATATGCACCGGCATTGAGAAGCAGAACATGTCCACAGGGAAGACGTCAGTCTAAAGGTTGAGCACAACCAGGAAGAGTATCACGATGACACCATGTCACCATCGCATGAAGACGGTCCGGAATGGTTCATATCACCGTGTCCAAGATTGCGGAACCTTCCGGTTCGCATGGTCCGAGTGCGCGGGTGCGGTTCCAGTGGTCCCTGCATGGTCCCTGCATGGTCCGTTGTGGAAGATGCAATTCTTCAAACCGATGAGCTGAGCCAGGTAGCCAAAAGAAAATACTGTAACGACTGTAACATTGAAACATGAAACCCATTGGAGCAAGGTGGACACGGACGGACAGCAGTCGAAACATACAGTAAACGTTGTGCCACTGCGGCGCGTGACGACGAACGCAGCTGCGGCGGGGTGGGTGTTCCCTGTTTGAGAACAGCAGGAGAGCAAGGAATCGGAGCATGTGGACTCTTGGTTAAAGAAAAAAACCTCTAATGAAAGCCCCCTCTCTCTGTGCGGCGACTATTTGAAGGGCATCCAAAAGAACAACATCTCGCAGTGGCCAGTTGTACCCGCTGTTTCAGGTGTGACATCCACTCTGTTGCTGATACAGTGCGAGCAATCTCCCGACTCGCATCCCAGGAAGGCCAATTTGCATGGCCTGGCCGTCAAGTAGGAACAATCACACAGTCTTCCTCATTCTTTTGCCTCTCAATTCTCCAAAGCTCACTTGCTCAGCTGTGGGTCGCACAACTGCCGCAGTGGAGGGTCGACATCGACCCTCAGGTGGCAGTGGACTGGAGCAAAGACCTGGCTGTCACCCACGACGCCGCGGGCGTGTGGATTTGCTGGGACCTTCAGACGCTCGGGCTCGGGTCGGAGGCGGGCGCTGGCAGGATCTTTCGGTGGTGGAAGTTCAGTGGGAAATTGAAAATTTAGAATATGACCTTTGATCTCCTTTGATTTATACAACAGGAAAAGAATGGAAAAGATACCATGGAGTTTATGATGTTGAATTCCACATTTGTTTTGCCCGAGATCCATCCAATGTTTGGCTGGGTGTTTTTAGGTGAATCGACAGGGTTTGGGGTTGGTCTCTACGAACGTACCACTTCGGTGGGAAACCATATAGTATATTATATATATAATATCGACTTCGGATTAATCACCGGCCCCCCCTTCGAGGTCAATAATAAGGTCAACAAGGTTTGAGATTGGAGGTGTTGGAGGACCACATCCCCTCGATAAAGGTGATGACCTGATGGTGGATGATGAGATGATCACTGACTGGATGTGAGATGATGTGATGATGGATGATGCTCTGATAGATCAGAGCCACATGCCAATTGGATCACTGCATAGGGAGCATGGAGGAGGAATGGGAGATGGAGGCTAAGTGGTGGGGGTAGGCCCCTATACTGGATGGTCAGATTGGTGGAGTGTGGAGGATTGGTATGACGTGATGGCCTGTGACACCCAATGGGAGGGAGATGAGCAGATATATAGCCCAAAGAGATCATCAATAATAATAGTAGACTAATTATTGTGTGTTTTTTTCTGGGGCAGCTGGGCTTGAAGAATATATATGTATATATATATATATAAATTTCTGGAAAGGAAAAAAGTAGGGGGATGTCAAGCTGTAAATTCATGCTTTTAATGTCCTGTAGTATTGGGGGGTTGAGCTGGGCTTGATTTATGGGGGGTTCATTAATCCTATGTCAACATTCGTTCTACACTCCTGGTGGCCACTAACGGGGCAATGAACTATTCCCAAAATGGTCCCAGCACCGCTGATCAATTCTTGTTCTTCCGTTTTGTGTTCTTAGGTGTCCACGCTTCTTCCAGTTTGTCATTTTCAGACATGAGCGACCACTGGGCACCCTACATAACTGTAGAAAAAGGAACAAGTCCCGATGACGCAGAACACATGGCAGAGCTGATTTTGTATTTTTGCGTGGGTTTGTCTCAAGTGTTGAAGTCAGTGCCATGATGGTTGCATCATGTCAGATGCTCCTTGCTTTCATTTCAGCTCTGACCTCAAGACAACATCGCTCATTTTGCGGCTCATGTTGCGGAGGACTGATCAGCAAAGCTAACACTCGCTTTTGCCGTTTTCTTGGTGATGCATAGACTCGTCATGACTCGTCATATCTAATCATCCTAGCTATAATGGTCCTGGCGGGAGTGCCACTCAAAAGGCGCCGATATGCATTGACAATAGAAGCTGCTTTTTCAAGGTCAAGAAATGTTCTCGCGGTTGATTGATTCCATACGACCACACAGTCTCAGAAGCGAGATCAAAGGTCAACACATCCTCGCTTGCATAAACAGTTCCACTTGTTTGCTGTTTACGCTAATGTTTTCGGGAGAATCGTTTTGCAGACGTTCTGCAGCAGGTTGGAGGTATATAGCGGTTTCAGAGTAGATGGCGCAATCCCCAAAAGGTGGTGTATCTGGATCCCCATCCAATAGACATCTTGGGGGTTGGGCCATCTACTCTGAGACCATTGTACTTGTCCATGTGTTTGAAATCCGAGGAGCGGAGAGCAAATGTACCAGCCTCTTGGCTCTTGGTGTGTGGATTGGAATTGCCCCCCTCTGCGGAAGGAAGAAATTCCGCACGTGTATACCCAACTTGATCATCCCAGTAGGTGTGCTAAACTTCTAGTGGCTTTGGGTGTCTGGTTTTGAGCAAGTTAATGTCCAGATTGAAGGGTTGCACTGCGTTACTTGGCACACCCACCGAGCACGGTTGACAAAGCGCAGCGAGCACAAACGATCAAGTGGTTTTGCCAGGCGAGCTTGGAGCAGGTGATACAGTGGAATGACATTTCATGCGAAGCGGTTGATGATATGATGTGATATACTTTTTGTATAGCCCGTTATGTGTTTTCTGATGCTTGCCTTGATTGATCATTTCATCATATGCCGGCCCTAACAACGGCGTTTCCGCGCTAGCACCGCGCCATTCTGCGGTGGTTTCGCGTTCGCCCGTCAAGGCGTTTGGCACATCAAGGCCGGTCACAAGGGGCGCCGCGGCCGGGACGTTCGCTCCATACGGAGGAAGAGCGGCTGCACTCCCCTGATGGGGGGGTGCGGAACGGATGGCGTACATGTTGGATGCAAGCAGTGTGCATACGAGGGTGTACAGCAAGCAAGAATCAAGAATCTGCAATAGAGGCTCTTCAAGAGTGGGTGATATATGTTTAGTATCCTTTGGCAACCCTTATGCAATAATATTTGTTTTGGTTACGCCCCTCCCGCAAAGTGGATGGCTCGGGTGCGCAGGTACAAGAGGTTTGGAGATGACTGATTCACCTTTACAATGGCGCACAACCTTCAGAGTAGATCCCCACACACATTCACACACAAGCCTTTGAGTATCTTTGAGTGATTTGCTGCTGGACTCTTCCAACCCAAACACTTACAGGGAACCACTGAGAACTGGAACTGGAACATGAAATGCCTGCCTTCACGGTCTTCGGGGAAGCGTGCGTACCATTCATTCCAAGATGAACCCCACGGACGCATCAATGCTGTGGGCCTAGGGGCCTAGCATGGCCTAGCTGTGCACAAAGGGAAGTGCTGCTCGTTGACCAAGTTGACCGAGCCAGTCATAGCAAGGGCCACCGTGCTGGGGTTAGCTGCATGAGAAGCCAAAGATCACACCAGCCCATGACGTAGGAGAGGTAGTCGTGAGTTCCGGAGTCAGACAGACATTGTACCTCAAAGGGGGGCTTAGAAATCCCAACCCAGAAATCCTAAACAAAGGTAAACATCATTTGTTTGACTACGTTGTTTGTTCGTTCCATTTCATTCTGATTACCACTTCAAGCGACCAAGCGACCTCATGGCATAGTCACCACCAAGAGAGAGGTTTGGACTGCCATTCCGAGTTGGCCTCAGCCACAATGCGTCGCTGGTCTTTAAGTCTGATACTGTGCTGCCTGGTTCATGAGCTTGGAACCTTTGGCTTCTTCAAGCCTGATCCTGACCATCAGCCCCTTCAGGACGATCAAGGTGTGGTGCTTCATGACCCGGATCGGCTACTGGAGCGCAGTAGTTCAACAGATCAGGATGAGATCATCCAACTACTGAAGTCCTTTAAGCTTAAGATGAGCAGCCCCCATTTAGGTCACTGGGCTGTGCATGCTGGTCTCGCCCTGGTAGATGCCACATCCTCCAGGCGCGGTGAGTTGTTGTCAAGCCGGGCTCAGAGCTTCGCCAAGCACATGGGGTTCTTTGATCGGAGAACGCTCAACGTGCTCGTGGTGATGAGTGCAGAACTTGGAGTTGAGCTTGCTGGTTCTCTCTTCGACCCTTCGATCGGCGAGAAATACTTCCAAGAATCCACCGATTGGCTCGCGGCCGAAGTCCTGTGCAAGACCAAGCTCCGAGCTGGGCGCTTTGCTCAGGCAGCGCAGGCTGCCTTTGATGGTATCTTGAAGGTTCTCACTGGATCTACTGAACTCATTACTTCTCAGAGTCACTTCAAGCAGAAGGAGCTGGCCAAGTGGAAATCCAGCTTTCAAGTTGGGGAAATTTGGCTGAACATGTGTGGAGATCGGCTTTGCCGTGAGCTTGTGCTGGGCGACATCCGGCAGCTCAGTGAGGGTTTTGAGCGCTATTATCATGAAGCCATGACTTTGCCAGCACTTAATCTTTTGGGGGAAGCAAAGAAACGCAGAGTGCTCATTCTCGGTGGGGGTGATGGTGGCATTGCGACCTGTGCCTTGCAGTTCTCCACGGTGGAGCAAGTTGTAAACATCGACATTGATGCAATGGTGACACAACACGCTAAGAAGTGGTTCCCCCAAGTTGCTGCTGGATTCAATGACCCTCGATGTGAGGCGATGCATACGGATGCCTTTGCGTGGGTGGACAGGCACAGCTCGAGCGAAGCAAAGTTCGACCTGGTGGTCATTGACTTCACGGATGAACCACTTGATGGGGCGTGGTCTGAAAAGTTCTTTGCGCAGCTGCGAGGTCTTCTAACCACCGACGGCATCGTTGTTCAAAATGCTGGAACGATTGCCAACCCACAAGACTTGCATAAACTGTTTGGCCTTCATGCATTAGTTTTTGGGTCAACGTTTCCCATGCACGCGCTGATTCCAGACTACTTGGGCCCCTACATCCTTGTCCTCAGCAGTGCAGATCCCAAGTTGCAGCCCTTGCAAGCGGACTGGGGCTTTTGGGAGAGTCAACAGGTTGCCACGCAGTACTACGATGGCCCAGCGCAGCACATGGCGCTGTTCAATGCAATACCCACAGATGTGGCACAGCTGCTAGGACTGCCACTCACGAGTGAACACCCCACTCGGGTCACCCTACCGCTCGGCCCTTTAGGAAGCAGCACAAGCAGAAAAGAGAAGGTACTCTTCAAGCAGAAAAGCACTGAAGGGAACTTGGTGAAGGTCACCAAGGAGACCACTGAAAGTTTGTATCAGGAGTGGGATGCGATCCTTTCTTCTGATTCTTGGCACCGCGATGAGTGCCTCATCCTTCCTGCCTTGTCCATTCTTGGATCGCCCAGATCAGTCCTGGTCCTTGGTGGCGGAACTGGAGCATTGGCAACTCTGGCCTTACGCTGGCCCTCGGTGGAGAAGCTTCGGGTGGTCGAAGTCGATGAGCTTCTCACACTTTGCCAAGAAAGCAAACGTCCAGCAGTTCCAAAGGGCTGTTTCGGGGGCTCGAAATAGTGGATCATGGGCACCATAGACACCCCGGCATGGAACTGCTGATCTTTTTTCATTTGTTGATATCTCTTCAAACATCTCCAGTGTGTGGGGGGGGCACGCTCCGAAAACAGGTCGCTTCGCTGTTTCACCTCACAAGGGTGGAAACCCTGCAAGGCTCGTGGTCCAGGCAGTGCAGACATACTTCCCTCAACAGGCGAAAGCACTGTCAGACCCACGAACGCAGTTGATTATGGACAATGCCTTTAGCTGGATATTGAAGACTGAGGAGCAGTTTGATATCGTTATTTTGAGTGTCTTTGATCAGCCTTGGCTGCCTCCCAGAAGAACCACTCGAATACCTCAGCTTCGTGGCTTTTACCAGCGTCTTCAAGCATTGACCACGCCTAAAGGCATATTCGTGCAAGAAGCTGGTAGCATCTTAGCATCACAAGAAGTTTGGTTTTGGATGTTTTTTGGATCCCCCGGTGAGATGGTGTTTTGAACCAAACCATTTGGGTCCCCCTTTTGCTCAAGTCCCCATGAGCCTCACAAGCTCCACAAATGGACATCTGATGACATGTCTAGTCCATTCTGTTCATCTTGCCGTCTGGATGGCCTAATCCGCCACCCGTGGAGAAACGCTCACTCGAGGCATCGCCATGCCCGAGCGCTTTGGTGCTACACTGGACTTGCATCGGCAAGTCTTCGCTCAAAGCTGGCCGCTCGCGATGAGCAGCAGCGCTTCCTCTCCGCAGCCCACGGCGCCAGGTGATCTGGGATGGCTTAGACGTTGTGCTGGCTGTAGGTTATGTGAGTTGGAAGAGTTTTGATCTAGTTGGAGGGCATATAATATCCTCCGAGGTGCGGCTTGTTTGAAGAGTTTTGAGGTGAAGCCCCCCAAAATTCCGTGGTGAGTCCGGCGAATACTGTCACTGTCCTGTAGCCTTGTTCTTGGCTGGGAGTGTATAATCATCCTGGAGTAGATAGAATCTACTTTCGTAGGGGGTGTTTTTCTTTTTGAAGAAACTCACGGTTCTTGACATCCCTTTCTTTTTTATGAAGACTGACCCTATAGATAGAATATAGTGATAAAATTCTCATCAGCTCCTCCCATTCCGGTATTTGCTCCTTTGTTATTTTCATGTTCTGTTCCTATGAGCCTATGTGTATTATCTAAGCGTTCCTTTCCTTTGTTCTTTTCTTTAGAACGAACAGAAAATAGAACGAACAGAGAAGGAAAAGGGCAACAAAGGAAAAGGAAGAGAAGCCCCTACAACCATATTCTATCTATGGGGTTTGGAAGGGCCGGTTTTGAGGAGTGAATTGTTCTTTGAAAATTCGTTCATTTCATCTACTCCAGGATGATTATACTTAATTGCTTCCTATTGTGAATTGTCCTTTAACCAGCGCCCTCTATGACAGATGGTGTGCGTAGTGTCCCCAGTTTGTGAATCCCTTTGTCAGGGATCCATTGGAAAAAGGGTGTGCTTCCGCTGAGGTGATGAATTTGATGGCCTCTATTTCCGCCCCCCACGGCTGCTCCTATTGAGCACCAATGACCCACAGCTGGATCCAGCCAGAGTGTCAATGCAGCATTGGCAGGGCTTTGCAGACAGCGGGGCGCCCACGACCTACTATCATCCACATTTGCATCGGGCACTCTTCGTGCTGCCGCTGGAGCTTCAACGTCGCTTCGAAGCTTTTCCACCTTGGCATCCTGAACCAAGCAATGACTTCTTGATTGAAGCATTCATGATGCAGGCACATGGCTGCTCTGCTGATTCCTTGAATAACGTCACCACTGCAGGCACGTTGATGAAAAACATTGCGGATTTGGCAGAGCTCACTGCTTTGGGCGGAGTTGAACACAAGTTTGAACCACAGGGACTCACAGCTCTTTTGCTTGTCTTTGAATCCCACCTGTCGATTCATACTTGGCCTGAATTCGAATATGCTGCATTGGATGTGGTTTCATGCAAAGATATCCCACCACGAGCGCGGAAAGCCATTGAGCAAGAAGTATCACATACCTTGGGCTGCCACTCGGTGGTGAGCCATTTCTCCCTCCGAGGGCGCGGAATTGATCCAAACCACCTCTCCATGCCAGTGACTCAGCCACATGCCACCTCTCCACGGCAAGAATTGTAGTTGCCAATGAAGGCAGGCTGTGAACATCACCCGTCGAGGACCTCGTACTGAACCAGCGTAGAGGACCTCGCAACGTGGGGCTTTTCAATGCCCTGCGTGCTCACTTCGGCCCGGTCTCACAGAGATTCAGAAGGGCATCGCGCGCACGCAGAAGAACTGCAAAGTCGCCAAGGGCCTCCTAGCTGTACTCCAATACATCAACATACGTAGACATGAGCTGCAACAAGAACATTTACAGTAATGTGAGCCTTGTACACGACTGTTCAATATGTTTTGGGCACTTCGCTGAAGCTGACAAGCTTGCCTTTCATCAGAGGCAAACGGAAGGGTAGTGCACAGAAAGGGTTTTGCAAAAACCTGTTCTACTAACATCGTGGAAGGCGCGGGACATTCGTAGAACCCAAGGCTATTCGTGGACAGTTCGTGGAATGGTGGGCCAGTAGGAGATCTGACTGCAACGAAATCCCAGAAACCTTCGCAGAACTTCGTGGAAGGTATTTTTGATGCACTAACTTCGTATAAGCGATTTTTGCTGACCCCCTTTCTCCACACACCCTCCATTTAGCCTTCATTTCACAACGTGTGAAGTCTGGGACAAGATCTATTGTTTTCACATTGTTTACAGTAAATATTAAATTGGCATACTTAGTTGTGAGAGCTTGCACAGGTGTGACAATCAGAAGTGGCAGAACTGCACAGAGATGCTCACGTGGTCACTTGCACTTGGCAGGTGGTGTTCATGATGTGGAGGCCGACTGGGAAAGGCTTCGCTTCGTGGCGGCCTCAATGCTGTTTGTTTTGAAGCCAGCGAAGGCCAAAAGATGCCGGAAGTGGTTATTTAAACTTTGGCCCGCCCTTAATTCAGTAGCTACTAAAGCTTCTAGTAACTGGACGCAGGATAGCTCGCGTTTCTTCAAGGAAGCTCCCCGCGCCCTCCTCAGGCGCGGGGAGCTTCCTTGAAGAAGCGCTCGCACTAATCATTTTGCTCCTAGATGTATTTTGAACTAAATATAGATCAGCCTATATGTGGCAGATTGCACAGGTTGCACATGGCTGAGAAGTGGTTGCCATATCCCCCACCATTCGGAGTTTTTTCGAGGTCACCATGGGTGGCGATGCCATTAAGACCTGGGTAAAGGGCCAGGAGCTTTGGTCCCACTCTTTGCACGGAACCTCGGCACTAAAGTGGAGGGAGTGTACACCTTCGGCTGGTCAAACTGTCGACTGTAGTGTCAACTGGTTGGGAGGTTGGAAGTTGGCAGCGGGGGAGAGCACCGACGGTTCTTCAAGCGCAAGCGCATCAGAACCGGTGTTCTGGGCCTTCCAACCGGTCATCCCAGGTCAGATGCTCTCCCCAACAGGTGAAAGGACGGACTCCAACCAACGAGTCGGCTCCAAGCTGGGCCAACAAGTCGATGCGCGAGCCGAGCCGCTCATTCGAAGGCTTCTCATTGGAAGTCATGTCGATGTCATCCATCTTCGACCTTTCCTTAAGTTCATGTCACCAAATACGTACAGGCCGTGTGCATAGGTGTATGTTTAGTATTAATTCTGAATCTGAATGCATCCGTGTGCTTTTGTCGGTTTGGCGGCGTACGAGGAATCTCCAGTCTCGAACATCTCGTGGATTGCGGTTTGGAAGCCGACTGGGACACGGACCGTTTAGCAGCTTGCTGGACTGACCGTCGGCTGGGGGTGCTCGGGTTTGGCTGTCTCAGATGTAGTATGATGTAGTCTAGGAGGCACCAATGGCTTGGGCGTTGGGCGCCAAGTGGCACCGGCTTGAACAGTGGGAACGGCTGTTGTAGACTACACAGTCGAAAGCCCCAGTCGCAGCGCGCTGGCAACGGCGAGTCCATCTCGGTCCGACATGCGACAGGTCGTCGACGGGTCGACGGAAGAACTGCCGGATGGACGCCATCCATGTTCATTTGATGCCTGACTGACTGAGTTATTGGAAAACACAGTGACATCTCCTGAGAAGAACCGAAGCCTTATTGCTCTTGGTCCAAAAATCATTGGTAAAAGTCAGTACGGTACGACATCAACGCCCGTGAATTACGACTGTGCTTCGTAGCCCAATATGGCCCAACAACTATTCTTCAACCCGCTCAAGATCTTAGCTCCGTTCGGTTGACAGCAGCCATGCCAAAGAGGCCATCGCCATCCATCGGCCCATGTGACCGCCATTGGCCGTCGGAGCCGAACGCATGCAGCATTGAAGAACAATCATTTGTATCGGAGAAGACCGTGGTGCATCTTCAGGAGCATGGCGGTGCATCTCTGGAACCTGGCCACCGGACAACTACTGTGGGTCTTTCGTCACCACCTAGCAGCTTGGACCGACGAAGTACACTCCACGGAAAAAGAAAGGAGTATTGAAGTATTGAGTAAAGATCCAAATGACTGAAAGATAGAATCCCTGAAAGGTGGAATCTGTAGATCCAGAGGTGAATACATACCATGAGGTTGAAATCAGTTTGGCGCTTGTTGCACGAAAATGTAATTGTTGCTCATCCTGATAGGTCTTCTTTTTCTTCACAAGGTTGTTCACTTTTGTTCTAGTATCACGTTTATTCAGTTTATTCATGCTGTTTGTTAATGTGCTTCGTCTCTCTCCATCTCTCTCTCTCTCTCTCCGTAAGATTTGATGGACCGGGACTCAGGATGATATTTCAGGCTTCTGTGTGAACTGGGAGAAGCAGCAGAGTTGCTCGGAATTATATACTTTAAGCACAATCATCCAACATTTACGGGCCATTTTGTGAGGTGGCATTCCTTTGTACGTTCTAGACGGCTAAATTTAAAGCAGGCAGCAGGCAGAAACATTCATAGACTCATAGTGAAGAGGCATCATTTCCCCAGCGTTCTCCAGGTTCGTGCTTGATTACGTCTATATAATGGCTGCATGGTGGTCTAGGGTATGGCTCTGGGGACGTATGTTTTGGGTCGACCACAACATTGGCACCAGAGCTTGGAATGGATATGATCAGCACGCAACCATACCCTGTCCTTGTGGATCAGAGTGCCAAATGCAAAGTGCACCAAACACAAAGGCAACATCCCGCCAATCAAAGTGAAGCGTGAAATAGATCGTGCATGCAAGGGTATTCAGTGGGCTGCTTCCACTTGTTGCTCAAAACGAAGAACTCTGGTAGGTATAGCGCATAGGGCAAGACTGACCCGCTTGCGGCTTAGCTGGCTAATCCCAAACTGATGGTGTATCAAAACAAACCGGCAGAACTGGTGCCCGAATGTGCCCAATCGTTCAGCGAGAAAAGAAACTTTGTAAGGTGCCTCTTGGGGAGAAGATGGATTGCTCCTTCTTTGGGACCTTGAAACTGGGAAACTGCTCGAGAAGATGCCGCATCAGCAGGCCATTGAACAAAGCATGTGATGATGGGCTGGATGGAGGATTGGGTTGGGTCCCTTTGCCAAGCGTTATTGAAAGGGTTTTTTGATCAAAATGTCTTCCAGTCAACGAGATGATTTGAGATTGGTTGGCAGTTTGCAGTGGAAAATTGTGACACTGGAGATGAACAACACCAGTGCCAGAAACAAAGCAGAAGACGATCGCTACACATGCGGTGGGGGAAGGGGCAAACTCGACCTGAGTCTCTTTTTTTATCAGAAGGGGGTGTTTTCTGGGTGTTCTTGATGTTCTCGGATTACTCTGACTCTTTGTGTGTTTGGGTCCGGCTTCATTCATCGACACTTCGGGGCATCAATTTTGACCGGTCCCGCCACCGCTGCTTCGCCTTGACCCAGCTGGCGCTTGAGGCGATCACCGAGACCACCTGTCATTGGGAAGGTTCCCTCCGGTGTTTGAGCTCTAGCGAGTCGGTGCTTTGGCTCTGGCAGGAGACCGACGTCGGTGACGTCTCTCGACGTCCGGAGACGTCGAGACGTCGGAGACGTGCATGTCACATGGAAGGACAGATCGTAAGGCGGTGTTAAGGCATAGTCGTAGTCACACTAACCCCCATTCCTTTGTGCCGGACATGGGCAACAATCCTACCTTACAAGCTAAACTACTACTATATACTACTAGTATTATGATAGTGAGAATGTGTTGTTCATTTTCGGGGGTATGATTGCGCAATCATATGCTGGTCTTGTTTCATTGGAACCATCTTACGTAGTTTCCGCCCAGAAACCGTCGACAAGGTGGAAAGACAAGACTGAGAAACGGGAAGGGGGGCCGGCTGAAAAGGCGGATGTGATGATGTGCCCCCAAAAAAAACGACACGGATCCCAAACACGCTGACATGTCTCCAGGTCAGCCAAAAAGAGGCGTTGGAGGGACATGGCGAGGGAGAACCCGTGCCTTCACTGCCGTCGGGAGCTCCCTGCCGGCCAGGATGAAGGTGCCGGACATCGCGTGGGTCATATGCTCACGGGGCACCGGGATCACATTTGCAAGGCTGAGGCGTGGTCGGAACAGGACGGAGGGTGGGGGTTGCAGGGGCGATCTGGAAGCGACCCCCCACGAAAGGAGCCAGCAAAGAAACGGTACATCAAGGTTCCAAGCCAGTCTGCAGCGTTCTTAAGTATTTGTGTATTGTTGTATATAGCTTAAGCCGCTTGAGCTTTGATACTGATACCACGTAAGGGTTTGGGCTTGCATTGCAAACTGGTAGGTGAACATTTCATGGTGTTGAATTGCTGGTAAGTGATGTTCCCTCCTGCAGTGCAGGCTTTTACTTTCAGGATGACAGGAACAGTTTGAAAGGCCACCTCCATGCCTGCCTCCGCCCTCGTGCGGAGTCCCGCATCGCGCACTGCGTGGTTAGGCCTGTTGGGATCAAGACCGGGCCTTGAGCTGGAGTGACCTGGCATTTCTCGTTTTTGATGCGAGTGTTGTTGTTCCCCCCTCCCTTGGATTTCCGAAAAGTGATTGAAGGAGATTGGTCGCGGCATGATACACCATGAAGAGGTCAAGAGTTTGCGATCAGTGACCACCCTACTTGAGACGACCTACCTTGGGAACTTCAAGACATGCCACTAAAATCCAGCACAGTAGGTCGGAAGGGTAAATGTATACGGGCAAATCTGTTCAAATCGATGCGTTTTGTTCAGGTTTTCTGGTGTCCCACAAGGGCTACACACGGGACAAAAGCCAAGTTCCTTCCAAGAATCCTTTATTTTTTTGTCCACTTAGGTGCTCATAGAATTGCAGTAGGTTTATTGCAGTAGTTGTTTCACCCTTCTGTCAGATTTCCCAAGGTGACGATGCCACCTTGCGGCTTTGGGACTTGAGGCTAGCATTGTCGGTCGTTTACTTCTTATACTTATCAGTGCGTTGGGGCTGCACGCCAGAGTGCGACTTGGGCATTGCCCGGCATTTCTTTCCTCCAGGAACAGCCAAAAGAACCTATCAGACACAACAGAGGCTTTGTTCTGCGGAGAGTGGGGGCTTTTCAAGGGCCTCACTTCCCAGATTCAAGAGAACTTGGGCTGGGGAGACGTTGGTGGAGAGAGAACTTCTTTCACTTGGAACATTTTGGAACACATGTTCATTCATGCACCTTTCTTTTGGAACCTTAGTTCCATGTAAGCAAGGACCAGCTTGAAGCTTTCAATCTAAGTGCTCCAAGCTGCAGCCTTTGACCTCTCCAAGTCGCTGGAGCCTCTCCGCGGCCTTCCACCACCACCACGATGCCATGGAGCTTCCAGGTGTGCTTGTTGAGCGGTGAGGTCTTGACCACCTCCATCGATGCGGGCGTGAGCATCGAAGACTTGCGTTTCGAAATCCAACGTCAAATCGGCTCGGCCTATGTCCATCTCACCAGCGGAGATGGGGTGAAGCTTCGGGGAGCGATCCCTTTGAGTGAGGCGGGTCTCAAGGATGGGGACCAGATCTATGTGGTGGTGCCAGGCAGGACAGGAGACGAGAAGAAAATCAAGAAAGAGAATGAAAGAAGGGAAGTAGTATAAAAAGGGCCTTGCAGGAATCGTACCATGAAGAGTGGAGAGACATGTGTTGCAAAATGAACATGGGATGACTCGCCAGGCGTTCAATCAAGGGCTGCACGTGGGTCGCACCTTCTATTCAATCAAAGAACATATGCAAATTCTGCAAAACCCGTGTGTTTCAACCTGTTTCGGTTCGGCTAAACCCTGCAGGCCACGTGCGTGTGAAGGCCCACAAATTTGGAATGGGCTTTGCAGCCATCAAGCCAGATGGGAGTGTGCAAGTTTGGGGCTTTCCACATTATTGCACCCTCTTCACGAAGACACTTGGAGTCGTTTTGTTCACTCAGGCTGTTTCAAGGTCTTCAAATGGGGCAGGTTTGTAAATGTTCATGGCAATAAATCCCACACGGCAGCATAATTAGCATAATTATATACAGGAGCTATGCTAAAGGCTAAGATGGCTAAGAACTTGCTTAGGCTTAGTCACAAACTGAGCTCCCTTTAGCGGCGATCTGGAAGGGTACGTTCGATATGTCCCAATTGAGAACCTGCTGGCTGTTGGCTCAGCAATGATTATATCAAGACAAACAAGTTTGTGCGCCATGTTTTGGAGAGTTCTACCCCCCAGAATGTTCACATCAATTGGCAAAGCCACGGCGCCGAATGTTGGTCGGGCGCCCAGCAGGGTGTAATTGGGGGACGGATGCTTTGTTGTTGAACGCATCAGGACTAAAGAGAAGCTGAAAGATGTGCAGGAGGTGTTTTGTACGGAGACGGCCTTTGCTTTTTTATTGGGAGATGGTGACCCGGCGAGTAAGCAGAAAGTCCTTTTTGACCAAGGTTCCCTTTTCCCACTTGAAGTAACTAAGTAAGTAAGTCAGTAAAGTCAGTAGGTAGGTAATACGCACGTAGCAAAGTAAGAAAGCAAGCAAGCAAGTGACAGCAGTGCTACCCCCTTCCTTTCCCAATGGCCTGTCGCACTGAGACACAGGCAAAGTCATTATCACAGGCGACGACTTTGGCGGCGGAAGCTTCACTTGTCGAGACATGAGCCCTGGTTTTGCTGACCGTTTGTTTTTTCGACAGATTGGGATAGATATATCTTAGAGTTGTGGGTAGGGAGGGTGACCGGTCCCAAGTTCACGACGTCCGAAGTGCGCCCCGCGCGCAACATGCACTTTTTCAGAAGGCATCAGAGGGGCGCACCGCCCACCACTGGTTTGAGGCGAGCGAAGTGGGTTTGTGAAAAGAGACAAATTCGTAAAGACTCCATCCTTCACCAGTCCTGACTCGAGCTGGCCGGGGTGCGGAGAAGGTCTCCGCTTGTGCCATTTCTCCGAAGAGTGCTACCACGAGGGCGCATTTGGCGCGCATGCTTTAAATAACAAGCATCCGAAGGCAGCCAACCACCTAGTCACCAGGTCCAGCCGAACATGTGAAGGCGAGACTTCCTCCACACAGCCGAACATGGTGACAAGGTTGGCTGGGGTGTTTGTTTTTGCGTTGTGGCATGCTAATCAATCTACTTCTATTGCAATCTAGTGCATTTGTCAGCACCAGTTGCAACTTGGATCTCATCCGTGACGAGGACGTCATACAGTGACACTGTACTTTGGCATCCACCATTGGTGGTGGAGGGTTGTCCATATGTGACCGGTGACCACATTGTTCTTCAAGGCATCATTGCCTTGAAGATCAGATCCCAAAAGATGGCCATGAACCTTTGTGATTCGGCTGAAAGATGCGACATCGGCTGTCGATTTCCAATTCCTCCTGTCGATTACTTTATAATGCCCTTCGCGCTTCCCATCGGCTACGTCCTTGTGGCACATGGCCTCTCAGAAGATAGCCACCCTGACTACTGAGGTCAGCACGTATGGCAGATGAACCGTCGCTGTAGGCAATCCCTTTTGTCCTCCAAACCTTCGATAGGCTAGGCCCACATCAGCACATTCCGAATGGCATAGCATAGGTGTTTGTTTCACTGACTTGAATGCTGGTCGCGCGACTCCCACCCCCGTAGCTTTCGAAGTTCCTCCAAGCTGTGAAACACCGAGAAGGTTTTGATTTGGAGTGCCCACATGTACTCTCATGCCTTGTGTTATGCGCTCTCATGCGGGTGCTCTCATATGTAATTATTCTGTCGTGTGTGTCTGTGAGAGAGTTCTCATATTTGTGTTCGCATATTTTGTGTTTTGCGCTATCAGGCAGCGTGTGCTCTTATTTTTCTGCTCTCAGATGTGTGCTTTGCTGTGTGTGTGTGTGCGCGTGTTCTCAGGTGGTGTTCTCATACGTGTGTTCTCATATGTGCCCTCTCAGGCGCGTGCTGTAATGCATTTGTAATGCATATGCTCTCTCATTTGCTCTCATGTTTGTCCCGTCACGTGTGTGTGTGTGTGTGTGTGTGTGCGCGCTTTCATTTTTGGTGTTCCTGCTTGGGCTCTCTCTCCAGACATTGTTTTTCGTGTTTTGTTGGTGTGGGTTCCTGACTGCAAGTCCAATTGAGGAATGATATCGGCCGCCCAGATCAAATGAACCTGGAAGAGCAGCTGGTGGATTTGGTCACCATCGACACTCCGTGCTCGATTTAGTCTAGCATAGGGCCAGGCGACTGGGCCTCCTAGCCACCAAAGCGATCCAAAAAGGAAATTAGTCTATTGCTTCTTGTTTCAGAAACCAACATGGGGAAAAACAATATGTTGAGACTTAAGGCTTAAGCAACCGCACTCACATGTATATATATATATATACAGGTTTGTATAGGTTTGTTATATTTATATATATTCAGAATATACATATAGTATCCTGCAGTGTTGAGGCGTACTGGGTGCGGGTCGTAGAGCTATGTTTACTGCTAGGGTGTCGGGACCAAAACACACGATGGCACATGGACTGTCATGGTTCTTATGTTCTGGGAAAGGGAATATGTGTTTATGTTGACATGATATTCTGTGATGTTCTATGTGTTATCAGTGCAGTGTCAACATTTCATTGATACACCTGAATGGCTGGTTTTCCAGCCCTGGATGTTTTCTGAAATGGCATGCGTGACATGTTTACCAGTCCTATGTCATTCCTGCCATCGTTCTTACCATTGGGGGGCTGCTTGATCAACATATGATGAAATCCCGGAGTCACCAGGTGATCAAGAAAACACATTTAAGAACAACACAAACACCTGTATATGCCAAGTTTGGGGATTTTCCATGGTTGCTGACCGTTGGGGATTTCTCAGGAAGCCAATTCTGCAGCCTTCGCAGCGCTCAGAGCAGATGGGAAGGTCATTGGGTGGGGTAATCCTCGCAGTGGGGGGGGCTTGTACAGTGACTCTCTTCAAAGCGAGCTTCTTGGCAAAAGAACATAGAGAAACGATGAGAAACACATGGTTCTGCAAGATCACTCAGCTTGCCTGGCGTCACCCTGCGTCACCCTGAGTGACGCTCTGGCGCCTGCGTAGCGAACTTCAAACAAGCACTCAATTGGTTCAGTGGTTGGCTCGTGAAAAGGCCACACGCCTCAAAAAGGTCCCTCTATCTTGAAATCTCTCAAATAGAGTGCTTTCGCTGCCCCATGAGGCTGGTCGGCATACGAAAAGTCTTCGCCTCGAAAGATGCCTTTGCAGCGATCAAAGAGGATGGCTCAGCGGCTTTCCCGGCGAGGTTTCATTGTGTGTCCCGGGGATCAGTGATAGCAGCGATAGCATGTTTGGCACCATTCCCAGCACAAGACTCCAGTCAAGCAGAGATATAGTATAATATAGTCAGTTAGGGTCCGCTATAATGCCAACACACCGGATTAATCAACCCCTCTTCAAGGTCAACAAGGTTTGAGATTGGAGGTATTGGAGACCACATCCCCTCAATAAAGGTGATGATGACCTGGACCTGACGATGGATGATGGTTGATGGGATTCTGAGTGAATCATGACCATGAGAACCATGAGAGCTTTGAGCATATAGGCACAAGCTTGATAAGAGATCTGATAGGATAGGTCAGAGAGCCATGCCAATTAGATCACTGCACTCCAGGGCATGGAGGATGAATAGGAGATGGAGGCTCTATGTGGTGAGGGTGGGTGCCTATAGTGGATCGTCAGATTGGTGAACTGTGGGGGGTTGGTATGACCTTATGGCCTATGACACCCAATGGGAGAGAGATGAGCAGATGCCAGTGAGTATAGGCAAAATGGCTGAGGATCATTGATAGGATGGATGAAACAGCTGCCATGGTGCTTGTGGGGCGCATGGCTTGCGATTTGGCTTACCAAGACGCCATCAGCCTAATTGAAAGCCAAAGCCAAGATTGAGTTGGATGGGATTGGGGCATGCAGCAAGTGCAGGTATTCCAGTGGGTGTGTGGACTGCAATGTGTAGAAATGCACAGCCTATTATATGAGTATACATAGGCTGCACAGATTGCCGCTGAGAAGGATGAGAAGAGCAAGGAAGATGAGAAGATCAAGAAGAAGGATGAGAATGATTGGTGGATGAGAGGATCAGCATGGGCAGAGGGCGGATCAGGATGATTAATAGGGGGAGGTTTCTGGCCAGAGAGAAAGTTATGAGGGGGATGTCAAGGTCGAAATTCAGGCTTTAAATTACTTTAGCATTGGGGGCTCCAGCTGGGCGTGGTTAATAAGGAAAGGTTACTTAATCTTGTGTGCGCACTATATAGGCATGTTGTTGCTCGGGGGTACAATTTCGCTCAGTCAAGGCCAGGAGACCTTTCCATTGGTGGGGAGTCACCGGACATATCTTTTGAAGCGTCATCAGGGCTGTTGGATAAGAACACCTGAGCTGCAAGAAGTGCGGGAACTCAAGTCGCAGAAAACCGAATCCTTCACAAGAACGAGGCCATTTGGATAAGCCTGGATAAACTGATGGTGAGAGACGGTCCCTTCCAGCAGCTGCTTGCCTGCGCGTCGGCCACCCAGGTGGTGTGCTGGGGAGATCCGGATGGTGGAGGTCACATCACGCCTAAGGTGGGACGATGCGGAACAACATGAGGGCTTACCATGTCTTACATATGTATTTCATCAGTCTATCATAATCTAATATAATCTATCTATCCATCGAATCCATGGATCTATCTATAGAATCTATCTACTGTATCGATCTATTGCTATACTTTCAGAATGCGTCTTCCGGCATCGCAACCCTAATTCACTGGTCACCATGTTCACAGCTATGGCGTTCTCTGCGTCACACAGCGGGCAAGAACCTAGACTCAGACTCAGACAAGTCATATTTATTGATTCGAGTCAGTTAACTTGCCAGGATATGCGACAATTCCACCAAGAGAAAGACAGATTGTTTACTTGCAGCGCCCGGGAGGTTAAAAGCCAATTGCAAGGTGTCAAGCACATCGTCGCCTCCGTCAGTGCTTTCGCTGCCATCCGCCAAGATGGTGAGGTGGTTACCTGGGGAGACCCTGATGCTGGCGGTAACAGTGAGATCGTGCAAGCAAAGTTGAGGAAGGTCAAGCGTGTCTATACCTCCAAGTTTGCTTTCGCAGCAGTCAGAGGCTTTGCTGTACAAGTCTCCAAGCCTCAATGGTTTCAACCCTGGGGCAGGTTCCAAGTCCATCAAGACAAGCCGAGAAACGTATTGTGACTTATGGGAAGGTAGGCCCAGGTAAACCCTCGCATTTACCTTCATTGATTCAATTGATTCATTGATTTGGGCCGCGCCATCAGACTCCATGAGAGAACAACTTTGATCCCGGGCTACTTACGTGGATATGCGGACGCTGTTGATGGCCATTGGGCAATGATGGTAGTAGATAGTGGAAGTCCGGCATCGGCACCAACTGGTGCAGCGGTTTGTATCAACATACAGCCAACATGTTTTGTAGCTTCCAGCCACCCAGCAGCAAGGAGAAGATGGGACAGTCGTAACTTGGGGTCCTGCAGAACATGGAGGGGACAGCAGCAGCGTGGAATCAAATCTGACTGGGGTGCATCACATTGAGGCATCGAAAAGCACCTTGGATGCCAGTCAAGCCAACCGCTGCTTCTTCTCGGAAGGGACGAAAAGAAAGACTAGTCGGCCTTTCCATGACGTAAACAAAAGCGTTTTAAGGAAGCTCTTTTGGGTTGCTGGTCATGACGGGGTGCTCGATGCTTGATGCTTGATACTTTCAGGTGCCTTCGCAGCCATCAGCGTGCAAGCGAATGTTGATGCCTCCAAGGGTGTCCAAGTTCAGCTCAGGAGCAGTTTGGGTGTCGAGGTTTTCCAGTGGATCCAGGCAAAGCACTAGTTCGTAGGTCACCCGTCGTTCCAGATCGAGCAATACCGTACACCAAATGAAACCCCGGTAACTGGGATCCATTAAGTTTTAATTTAAGTTCATGACGTGTCATGATTCTCGTTCACCATAGCTTGGCTCCTGGCTGGTGGGCTTTCTGTGAAGGCCACCTTTGGTTTCACACATGGTGCAAAATTTTGACGATGGTTCTGCATCAACTGTATGAGGAAGACATAGTAATAACTTGGGAGATATGGTGAAAGATACACTTGCTTACCCTCTACTGTGCTAGCTGCTAGCTACTTTCTGTTGGCCCTTGCTGGTCTATCATGTCTACGGATGTGCTTTGTCAAGAGCCAGCCTGTCAGGAGCAGAGTTGTAACCTGGGGTGATCCAATGCATGGCGGGGACAGCAATGCTGTGAGTGACAGGCTGATTGATGCCCCTCGGCGGCCATTTTTTGGTCACAAGCGGGTGCGCAAGCGCATGTTTCAGAATCAAGAGCTAGGCTACACCTGACCTCATCCGCGCTCCTTTCCCGGCACCGTATTGCCTCCGCCTGAGGTGATCGAGATCCGAGCGACCAAGCATGCCTTCGCCGCCCTAAGATCGGATGGGCAAGTGGTGGTCTGGGGTCATCCTGTGTATGGTGGAGATGCCAGCGCAGTTCAGGAGCGGAGTTCATCCGATTTTGGACGTTGGGATGTTACTTCAACAGCGGATGATGAGAGGGAGATTCGTTGATTATATGGTGTAGGCTTGTTGTACAGTAGGAGAAAGATGCCTTTGGCATGCTGAAGGCTTCAATTCCCGACTTATTGTTGTGGTACTTCTTGCCCATGTCACCCAGAGCTTACACAGCTCCCTTCGTGACAGGACCAGCTGGTGAAGGTCGAGACGCTGTATTCCAGCCAATCCTCATTCGCAGCCTTGCGGTCTGATGGTCGAGTCGTCACCTGGGGCCACCAAGATGACATGTGTGACGATCCCGATCTGCAAAAGCGGCTGGTAGATGTTGAGTGCCCAAGATGCAGCAGGAGTTGACTTTGTGGGCTTGACAGACCACACACACACTGAAGCATTTTTGTTGTGGAGACAGCCCCTTCAATGAGTGTAGCAACGCTAGCCCGTTCCACCGACCCGGAGACTCGTCCGGACGTGACGTCAAGTGCATCGGAGCGGACCAGGTATGTCTCGGCCTCGAAGCTGGCGTTGGCCGCGGTGCGGAAGGATGGCACCATCGTCACGTGGGGAAGTCCAGATCATGGAGGACACCTGGAGGAATGAATGGATTGTACCAGGTGTGGTGGATGGGTGTATGGTGATGCGTTTCTTTTGAGACGTTAACAGATGTGAACAGTAGACACTGATCTGCGGGGGCGACGTTTCACCAGCGGCACTCGCTGTCGCTCGCGAAAACAGGCGAGCCGGTGGCTGAGTTGCTCACGGCCGCTGTCACGAAAAAGGAGCCGACTGGCAATTTTCTTCAGATGTTCAGAAAGGTTTTGGAAGAAGAACACCTTGAAGTTCAGAACACCTTGCAGGTTGTGCATTCAGAAAGGTTTTGGAAAGTCACCCTGTCACCTTGCATGTGGAGTTTGCTCTTTGAAGTCCGGGTCCTGACTTCAATCCGGGATGGTCATTGGATTCAGCATGGTGTCTTCATTCATTCTTTCCACATTGAGAGTCTAGAGTTTGGCTCTTTTGGGGGATTCTGTTTTCGCGAGTTGGTAACCCCCCCTTGACCACATGAAAACCTGACCAAAGCACCAGCACCAAACAACCGCAGTTATATAGTCACTAGTTCTTCATAGTTCACCATTGCTTGGTGGAGCATCCTTCTCAAGCTGCACACATGTCACTATCGAACCAGCAAGCCGCTTCCATGCTGTTGACTTATGCCGACTTCGGGGTTCGAGTCCCGTCACAGCTTGATGCCCCCAGATGCCGCCCGCCGTCACCGGCAAAGCCTCGGAGGCTTTGCAATGCTTGTTGCTCCTGTCGGGTCACGTGGGCCCCGTGTGGGGCGCGCTACTGGGGCGGAAGAATCGGAGATCAACGACATGGGAGAAGGATTGAACTGAAGAGTTAGGGGATCTATTCTTAGGTTATATATATGTGTGTGTGGCATGTTTATGATATTGTGCGCCTTTTCAATAAGAATCTTTGGCCTCTACCAGAAGGGAGCAAATTCAGGTGACGCCCCAAACACTGTAGCAACTGCCCAAGTGAAGAAGACACAATAACATAGATATACATCCCTGCATTCGTGTGGCATTGAGAATTTGGGCCATTTTCTTGTCGGCGGTTATGAGCAATTACGTCTTATGAGTCGCACCCAACACTTCCTGTCGGAGGTTTTTTACACTCAAGTGGTACACGACGCCTTCAGGTAACAGCACTGGCAGTAGGTGTACACGTTCGAGGAGTCCCAAAATTGATTTTAGAGAAAACCTATCGGACCTTCATAGTCGTGAATGAAACCCATGGTTTTGTGGTTTCCAGTAGATTCCAGTGAATAGCAGTAGGGATGGACGGACATGGCTTTGAAGCGCCACACTTGGCACTGCAGCTGCACCGTGCCAACCAAGGCATGTGAATTGGGAGAGTGCGCAAGTGCTGAGCTACAGCTTCAGGGCTAAACTGAGTAGCCTTTGTGAGGCTCAGATGCTGCAGAGCATCCTGCAGAGCATGCGCGAGATCAACATACTGCCCAGAACTAGAACTTGCCAAGTAATTAGGCCTTCCAGCCAGTTTATGGCCCCAGAGGATATCAGCCACTTCCTGCGTTCCTTAGGGTATGTTTTTTTCTCTTTGTCGAGACGTTTCGACGCCAAAGTGCCATAGATGCAAAGAACTGTTAAGCTAAGGTGTCTAGTACGGAACAACGAACCTACACTAACTGGGGATTCTGGGTCCAAGGTCTTATGTTAGAGTCCATGTTTGGGGAGGGTGCTTGCAAGCGTTTCCAAGCATATAGCTCCTCAAAGTGTCCAAGCACTGAGGTTTTGCCCAGAAAATGCTGCTGTTGTGGAATCTTCAAGATGGCAGCAAGCGGGAGCAGCTTGGGCGCAGGGGTGGCATCCATTGGACCGTATTGGACCATATGAATGAAAAGACATGCAAACGACCGCAAACGTGCGTTCCGGTCGACCGTATTGGACGACCGGTACTTCTTATAACTCAGATAGGTAGTAGATGGTCTGATGCTGTCTGAGAATGACTGTGAACCGTTGACCGGGTGCAGAATCTTGTCAGGATATCCCTTGAGGAGGAGGTCAAACATTCATCCACTCCAGCTTGGAACGGCGGTGCTGAAGTGGATTGGGAGAGACTCTTGGGCTGCAGCAAGCAGAAGTGACTGCACAAAGGCGACTGACCCTGGAGGTTGAATATGAGACGAACAGAGTCATATCCACCATGGCTATTGGATGCGGGCCTCAGACCTTGGATGATGCCGAGGCAAATGTATCTCACATTGGTTACCAAACCGTTTTTGAAGGAATGCGTTATTCAGCCAAATTCACGAGTCTATCCAGCGGCCCAATCATGACATCAACCTGGTGATGAATCCATTGGTTTCCTTCAATTTCTAGATCCTTTCAGAACAGGGGGCCCATCCGGTGACATCACCAGGTCCTTTTTCGGAACTGGCTCCGGGCGACACGACATGAGCCGACCGGGGTCCGGCCGACCGGACCGACTCACTGCTCCCTAGAGCCACCAATAGTGTCACAGCTCACGGAATTTGTGTGGCAAGTGGAGTGAACTTGAGGGGATTAAATGAACAGGATGAAATCATATGAAATCCCTTGGGAGCATCCCAGTCACCACCTTGGGGATGAGCAAGTCACCACCCCTGTGAAAGGTGCCATTGATCCATTTCAGCTGCCCAGGTCGACGGGCAGTGGCCTGGTGTCTCCGCGAGGCGGTCTTGCACGCCATCGACCTGCGTTCGGTCGGGGGCCCATGTGGAGACCAGGAGGACACCCATATAGCTTGTCCATGGTTTTGTCATGTCTTGTCCATAAATGTGTCCGCTACATTCCGTGGGGTATCACGGCTTGGCTGTATCAATCAGTAAAACATCACCCCATTTTGTAGAGAAGAGTTTGCTTGTCGCATGTTGATGCCCGATTCTGTAGTTTTATTTTCTGCTTGTAAGATTAGAGAGTTGATGCATGAGGAAATGCATTGTAGGGAGTTGAATGGCAGTTTTAACGATTTTTACTTACAAGCCATTTGGAGGAAAAAAACACTGGGATCCCCAATCTTACACATCAGCACTCGCCCAACCAAAGGGATCAAACCACAGGGATTCATCATCTTGGTCGAAATGATGACACAAGTATAACAGTATATAATTAAAACGATTGAAATATTCGGTCAAAAATCGAATGAATAGGAACACTAACATGGCACACAAGAAAAGGCCTGAAGATTCGCAGTGTTTTCATGTTCTTTTCTCTTTGCAAATCTTTATGACATGTCCTCCAGCATAGCTTAGCTATGCATGGGGCATAGGGTGCTACAGGGGCGATGCGAGAGGCGTAGACGTCCAAAGAAATTTGACCCATTGACAGATATTGAAATTAACCAACAAAGAGGGCACGATGACCTGCTTGACTGAGCATGTCTATATATATATATATTGCTTGCATACTGCTTGCTGTTTGATGGTCTAGTTTTGTAGGAATTTGTCGATTTAATCCACTTTGTGGTTGCGGGGAATTGTGGGCATGTATGTGTATATGTACTGTATATATATATATATATGTATGCATGGAATTATATGGATAACTCTCTTGGAAGGAACATGTGCCATTTTGCATCATTGTGCTCTCCAAAGTGTGACGTCGGGTTTACTGCAGCTGGAGGCTGTCCCCCGCCCAATCTTTCTTCGGTGCTGCAGCCAAGTCGGGCACCAAGAAAACACAGAAAAACGTGTTCCGCGAAGAAAGATGTTTGCCCCCGAATTGGTTAGTACATAAGCATGCCTACGGCCCGAGAACCGTAGTAGCGTTTAGTCGTATTTGAGAACGTCTCATCACCATAAACATCATCATTTGTCATCTTCTGCCATCGGTTTCACAACATTGTCATCGGTTTCACAACATTGTCATCGTATTCATAACATTGTCATCGAACGAAAGTGGGATTAAATTGTGGTGGGGTGGGGTAGGGTGTGGACATGTGCGGACTCTTAGAATGCGATGGCACAAGCTTACTGGAAGTATCACGTACTGGCAGTTGTTCAGAGCTGTTTCGCGAGAAGACGATCAGGACTCTTTCCTCCAAATCTTCAAGCTTCCTTCAGACTGAAGAGGGTTGTTTTTTCAAATGTCGGGATGAAGATGGAACTAACAAAGAATATGGAAGGCCGGCCGGACCTTGGCCATTTAGGCCTTAGGCGAGGTGTGAGGTCTGGAGGAAAGCCTCCTGCTGAGAGTTGGGCAAAGATCCGAGCCACTTCAGCGCCTGATCCCCGGATTCAAGAAATCTGGAAACGTTGGGCGTGCCGTTCTGTTACTGTCAATCCTGGAAATCGCTTCGGTGTATTCCAAATCCACTCCTGCCTTGCGCGAACATGTTGGGGAAGTCGCATCGACTTGCGTTTAGCTTGGTGGAAATGAAGCTCTACTAGTTGAGATGCAAAAAAGATATCTAAAAAATTGAATCAATTCCAATGGATTTCAGTACTCCCAAAATGGTCATTGAATTGGAGTGAGCTGTGGCAATGAATGTTGTTTGACTGCGTTGCCGTGCGGTTTAGCTTTTCATATCTCATGTGAGCCTATGCTACAGCTCGCTCTACGTTCTAATCGCTGCATCCTTGCTCCTTATATTTCCATGGGCAGGGCACAAGGAATGGTAAATCAGACGCTGAACTCTCAGGCTACAAAGCTGCATTGTATATGGAGGTTTATATGGGGCCGTGGTGAATGGAATAGTGCAAAGGTGCCTGAACTTTCTGCAAGCCTAGAGCTGCTTACCTTTGCAGCACCATGGGAAAGCGCCCTGCTGCGTGTGGTGGAAGCACGAAGCCTCGTGCAGAGAAGACCGAGACGCCAGATAAGGCGGTGGCCCTGATTCTTTTCCATGCGGGGCGTTGCGCTACCAGCCGGTGCTTCCCGCCTAATGAAGAGGGCATTAGTGGCGGAGGCGATGAGGGGGCCAAGCACGCTCCAGCAGCACTTGACAAGCAGAAGATGGTGAGTCGCGTGAAATGATCCATGCAGCCGCAGCCAATGATCTCCTCAAAGGCTTGCGGCACAGGAAGCTAAGCGAGAAGAGGGAGCAGCCAGTGAGCCTGCTGCTGAAAGTGCGCCTCCCTCCTCTGCAGCCTGCGCAGCTCCCAAAATGCCACCAGCTGTGAGGACTCAGACGAAGATGTGCCAAACAGTGGGGACGAGCATGATTGCGCCACACCGACTGGCTGCGCCAGCATGATATGCTCTCACTTTCCCCGCGCCAAGCGCAAGGAAGTGACGGCGCTGGCTCAACTCCACGTGGGTGATACTCGAAAACCAAAGGCTTCCAAACAAAATCCATTGCACCCGGTGTCTTTCAAGGAACAAGCGGCCAAGAAATTTTTTGGAGTCCAAGAAAGGGCGAGAGGCCTGGCCAGAATGGGTGTCTCACGATCGCAAGCTGCGATTCCGGAAAGTTCCCAAGTCTGCCAGGTGAAGGCTTGAAGCAGCCGGAGCTGAAAAGTTGGCAAACTTGTTACGGGTAGGTTGATGCAAGCGTGGCTTGGTGCAAGGCCCCAATCATGTGAGCTCCCAATAGTTCCAATAGGGATTGTTGGTTTCAACTTTAAAGCCATTAGCCATGATGACTGTCATAACTTCTGCCCCATGGGAACAATGACACTTGAGGTGATTAAAACACAGAAAGAACTTACAAAATAAATCAAAGATGTGGAGTTCCAGGCGTCAGAAAAGGTGATGCGACTCTTGGGAAATGTTGATGTGCGGAGTTCCATGCGCAGAAACACAAGAGTTGATGCAAATTCCAGCGTTATCAGTAACTGATGGTGCACAGTGCTCTGTCACCATGGCATGGCAAGAGAGCTAAACTTTTTGCATGCTGCAGTGTCCCACGCGAAGGGTCAGTTTGTTGACTCCTTTGTGCTCGGCTGCCGCACGATGTCGGTACAGACGGAAAGAACAGATTGCAGCTTGGCTTTGGCAAAGGCATTCGCGCCGAACATCCAAAACTGAAGAGTCATAGCATCTTTGTTTGATGGACGAAATCCTGCATCGATAAAGCAACACATGAGGTCCTCCAATAGTACAGACCCCCGTGCCCCCCAACTCAATGTTGTCTCAATGTTTGCTATGTGTGATGCAGGATTTTGGTCGTTCAACTTTTTTCTGGTTCAGGCATTTCCTCAACTCAATGTTAAAGAGGGAGCGCGAGGGTATACATGAGTTTGTTCGTCCAGTGGTGCTGGATTTTGTCCATCAACAGTAGCATCTTTGTACTGCGGGGCCTATCTTCTTTCATTTTTGAGGAATAGTGTTTCCCGGAAACAATACGCTGGTTTGATTGTTATATGCACGTCCCAAAAAAGTGTTCGGGGGTGTTTCCTGAAAAACGATGTATACTTTGTGCACAACATTCCAACTCATCTAAGACTTAATGCTCTGGAACATACATGTATATTTGGTATTGGTTTGTTGTAATGCGTACGCTCACAAACACAAAGCACTGTAAAACACGGGCCTCCACAACCTCCCACTCTCTTTCGTTTGATGTGAGAAGTTTCCCATAGGGGTACATCAATAGGAATGTACACCAGCCGCATTCAATTCGCAGAATTCGGGTGTATCACCTCGGTGAGTTTCGGACTGGAGTTTTTTCGTGTTGCAGTCAGTTGGAGTGGTTGCCACGCACCGAATCATAAGTCTTACAACCTATTTCGTTTGGCAGGTATTAGTGGGGTGGGACTTGGGACCAACCAGCTCAGGTGTCCTGCGCAAAGTTGGAGACCTCTGAGTGACTCAAAACGATGCCACACGGCGTCGCTGATGGCGGTGCAGCGAAGACCTGCAGATCGTGCCAAGAATCACAAGCTTTTGATGGGCCGGGTTTGGTGCTGAGATCGCAGGTGCTTGCCCAGCTGACGGGAGGAAAGCAAGATGGTCGATTATTTAGGTTGGCCCGCCATGTGAAGAGGCTTGTGGAACCCTGAGGCTCTGTGAAAATTATCCCGGAGAATTTGTGGAATCAATTGGCAACACACGGCCTGACATGCACATGCACCTGTGTTCGCATGAGGACCCGCACACGATGCACCCGACCGATGTGCATGAAGACCATTGCTGGGGGCTTGGTTTTTTGTGGAGGGCAGCATTGTGCTGGGTGTATAGCTGACGCTCATTGAAGGCGATTCGCATCATCATAGCCTAAAATATGTGTATGTATATATATATATGTTGTTTTGTTGGGTGTGGGCTTAAAAGATGAGCCCTGCGAGGTGTGAAACGAGACGTCGTCCGAAAAGCCCCTAAGCCTACAGATTCAAGAGAGTTATGCAGTTATACAGGTTAATGAATTGTTCCATGAGGGGTTGCCCATTTCAATTGAGCATCATGAATTCCTTCATAACCAATTCTTCAGCACCAAGGCGACACTGGAGCAACCATGTCCAAAACATATGCACCTGTTCAATACCTAGGAGCAGGCGAAGTTGGGCTGCCCAGTTTCCCATATCACTATACCATTGAATGGTTGGAACCCTGGCAACGCTTGGATTGCTTTCACATGTGACCGCTCTGCGCCATAGACGCTGAACTCAGGGCCTCACAACGACTCGTTGTGGGCAGTGCGTGGCAGAAGGGTGGGTGTGGCGCTGCTCATGGTGACGATCTTGGCGATGGCGGGACATGGCAGCAGCAGTCATGACAGTTTGGAAACTTGTTAAGATACATGCCTGCAATCCACAATCAACTATTAATCATGCTACTGGTACTTGTTTTCAGTCTTTTTGTTCATGGAAAATAGCAGTCAGTAACCCTCGTGACAGCTGCAGCTCTCAATGCAAGAGGGACAGAAGTAATTTGTAGAACTAGGTGTAGAAGTCAGGGGTCCCCCGTCATACCTTTGCTGGGCCTTGGCGAAGCCTTTCTCAACAGGCTACCTTCGCCAGAGTCGATGTCCTTCGATGGCACCAGGCGCTGACGAATAAGTTCATCCAGGGAAAGAGTCGTGAAACAGTTCGTCTCACTACGAAAGGCCATGTGTTTGAGATATTTTTCTGCATGAAGGCTAGTGTCATGGTGACGCACTGGCGAGAACATAAAAATACATAGTTACAGTACATAATGTAGCCGCGTAGCGGCGTAGCGTGTAATTTAGTAATCCTTTTGCCTGATGATGATTTTGTGGCGGCGGCGGGCGCTGTTTGATGAGGAACGCAAGTGGAATGACCATGTGATGCCAACGGGAACGGCCGTCAATTTGTTAACAGAGTTTTTGTTGCCTCTCCTTGAAGGCTTGAACTCTAAGACTCTAAGAATCGTTTTGGCTCCGGTTGGAACTCCAACTTCATCGGTTGGAGTGAGAAAAGGAGTCTCAAGTGATGAGCACCCCAAGGCTTCAGTCCGACACCACAGCAAGGGGTGAGTTGAAAAAGAAAACGAAACTCAAGGCAGGCAGAATTGTTTTAGGGCAGCTTGCAGATGTTTGAGGATCCAGGCTTTGCAATGATGAGTCCAGGGAAAGATTTAGGTGTGAGCTACATCGGTCCTCGACGGCAGATTAATAGGACACGACTTGAGTCCTCAAATTCCTTGGACAGGAGGGCCAAAGGAAAAAACTTTGCAAAAACAAACATGTGGAGTGCTGCTTCACAGCAAGGCTGTGTTGGAGGATCATTCGTGTAGAGTCGCCAGTTGCCACTCAAGCCAAAGTTCCAGGACCTGGCTTCTCTCATGAGGAAGTACCAGGCACTGCAACAAACGTCCGGAGTACTGAGTAGATGCTTTGCAGCTTTTGCAGTCTCAGATGTGCTGCAGCAGGTGGTGCTCAGCAGCACTGTAGATGAACCGTAACCGAAGACGACAAAAAGCCCATGGTGATTGACGAAGCAGACGAATAGCAGAAAGAAAAACTAGAGTTAAAGTATGCTAAAGTCATCAAACTTGCTAGTTAGCTGACGTTCGCTAATACCTTGGTCTTCCTGTGACTGAACCCCTGGAAGTTCGGCCTTCGGCTGAAAACACTCGCGCAACACTTCGCTCACTTCGGCCGCATCGCTTCGGCCAGAATTTGGATACATGGTTCTTCAACGGCGGCCTGGCACGGATTTGTTTACGTCGGGCCGAGGGTACGCCGCCGGATAGGCGCCGTGTTTTTTGGGGGTCGCGTGCACCCCAAGTCTTGGTGGACAAAAAGAAGGCCGAGAGCAAGTAAGAGAAAGAAAGAACCTCACGAAAACCATGAAAAAGAACTGAAATCAAAGGACAGAAGATGACGGAAGACCACAGAAAGGCCCTGTTTCATGTGAAAAATGCCTTTAAATTTGATCGATTTCGACGCCAGGGGAGGCACCCAAAGGGGGTGCCGCCACCTCCGCGGGCTTCTCCAAAGCGCCCTCCGAGTCCCCTGGCGGGAGTGGGAGCGTGCCACAGTGCCAATGGATTTTGTTGTCCTAGTTTGTTGGCTTCTTGAAGTGAAACTAATGCAAATGACTACTTGGATCATCTTGGATCTACTTGGGGGTTCTGTTTTAAAATGTTGTGCCATCCAGGCGCTTTCCACGTGCTTGGATGTTTCATCATTCTACGAACCTAAGGAACATGCACGACGGCAATTTGTGTGGAGATGACGAGGAGCCTGGACACTCAGGAAACCCAGAACACCAAGTGTCATGTTCTCGTTCACAGTGTGGCTCAAACATGGGCAGCATATCAGAGCACAATCTTTGTTGCAACTCTCTCCATTTGATCCAAGAAGACATGCCAGAAGATTCAAGGATTGCGTTCAATCAGTGCCGTCGCACCTCCAAGGCTTTTTGAGGACTTGTGCTATTTCAAGTGCTTGCCTCAAGTCCCTTGCTGTTTTGTCAGTAGCAGGTCCTAGCCAGTTGCTCCAACCGCTTGGAGATGGCTGTCAAGCGGGTTCCAATTTACGACAGTGTGACATGCCGCGGGCGACCGGACAGAGACATAGCAGCGCGGTGATCTGCGCTCGAGAAGGAGGTCGTTGAAGATTGTTTCGGCCGATTCGCCTTTCGAGGTGCTCTTTGCTGACCAAAGGCTCCAACCCCATCCGCACCAGTGCCTTCACATGCCTGTGCCTTAGCTGTGGCGAGCTGATTTTTGGGGGGCGGGTGGACCGGCCAAAAGATCATGTTTGGTTCCTTTGGTGAAAAGGATGAAGAAAGATTAAATTAGACCGTGTAAGTCTCTGCATTGTTAAATTTGGGGCGCGCTGCGAAACCTCTTAGACGGTGTCATTCTCTTGGGGGTGCGCGTACCTGGCACCGCCACAGGTTGCGAAGCACAGCCTTGTGGCTTTGACAACACCATTTTCAACATGAAGCCGGAGCCTTACTGCAGATGGCCCTGCCTAGACTGCCTAGGCTGATATTTTCTCAGTGAGTGAATCCTCTTTTCGGTGAAGATGTTTTTTCCGGTTCCTGAAGCAAATCCAAGTGGCCGCATGGGAGCTGAGCTTCTTGAAGTTGGCCTTGCTGTGGGGCAGTGTCATTGACCTGGTTTTGCTCAATTGGTGTCCAAAAGGGGGGCTGTTCATGCCTATGGAACCCTAAACCACTTGGTTGTAGAGGAACAGGGTCTTCCGCTAGCTAATTCTCAGGTTCCATGTAAGCTTGTGGGGTGGGTATATTGTGGGACCCCAATGATGCCAGGTGATTTGGCCCTGGGTTTAACCGTTTGCTCATCGTCCGTATAACCTCCTCCCGGAGCCCTTTGTTCTGCATGAGAGTTGGCGATGCTCAGGAACCCAATTCGTCCAAGAAAGCAATCTAAGACATAACTTGATTTTGTAAGTAATCAACACGCTCACCCCAGTTTAGTATCACATGCGCAAACTCCCACACGAGAAGGAAGAATTAACAGCTTTGAACTGAAATGTCATGTGAATCATATCTTGTCATATCTTGTCATACCTCATATCTTCTCCGACATTTTAGAGAACTGTTTCGCCAGGAGTGCGAACACCCGACCCTTGGGCCACCCCACGTAGGTGGGTCCTGCCGGTCGGTCCCTTGTTTCGCCAGTGCGCCGTGTGCTGGCTTTGACGTGGCTGGGAACCTCAACGGCCAGAAGGGCGCCTGCCCGCACACAGTGGGCACATGCCTGGAGGACGGGCGGATAGGGCCCCCGGGCGGCCCTCGGGACGGAATCATCGTCCCCGGGGACAGCTGAGTTCAATCCACAACGCTGTGGTGCAACAGGAGGGTCCAAACCCACAGCTACAACACGACCAGTTCGGTGGATGGTTTTGAGGTTAGGCTGAGTCTTGCTGACCCAGACTTCGGCTTCGGCTTCGCTCACGGAATCGAGAATAGCGCTCAAACGGGCTTGGCTTCGTGGGTTCATTGGCCCGGCATTGACAACACCAGCTCGATGTCAAGCAGAAGGCTTCGAGAATTCGGGAAGTGGTTCTCATAATATTTGTTTGATTCTGGAGTAGTAAGCACCATTTGGTTTGCAAAGCCACTCAAGATATTTTGGGTGAATCAGAGTCTACATTCGCTTTGCATGTTTTTCATGCTGGGCGTTGTTCACCAACTTCTTGCATTGCAACATCCTGTGGGAGGTCTTGGTCAGAGGTTTGTTGTGCATTGGATGAAATCCGCAGGATGAAGAACTTCTCCTGGGAATGTGCTGAGCCCAGTTGACGGAAGTTGATGCAGAACTCGGAAAGTCGGTAGTCCCTCTGAAGTCTGCGGAACTGACATGGTTGGAAGTTTCTGCCCGAACAGTTTGATTCACATTGGGACCCAAAACTGAAAGCCCGCAGGCTTAGTGATTGGTGTTAAGTGAGGATGGCTTGGAACTGGAGCTGCCAAGGTGTGTGTGCATCACCTCCCCATAGTGAGAATCGTCCTCCTGGGGCTATGGGCTGTTGATCTTCGCAGAAGGGCTTCCAAGTTACACGACCTCTTGTGAAGGGGTGAAGACGCCAGGTTGAGGTGCTTCCAATTGCCATTGACAAAACGGCGTTTCCATGCTAGCTCCATTTCAGACGCCCCTGACACCCCTTGTTGATTTGTGAATTTGATTTGTTTTGAGTCCGTGCCCCACGGTTCGACTGCTTGTAGGGCGAAGCATGTCCAAGATGCATTGGGGGGCATGTTCAGGTGACAGTACCGCTTGCAGAATAATGATGGAAGGATCCCTAGCAATTGAGTGGTGTTCACGATGTTCCATCTGAACAAAGTTGCTTCTTCACTCCGTAGTACCCTACAGAGATGGTGGAAAGTGGCGGACACCCAAATTCTTCATACTTCAGAATTGCCTTCTGCCTGGGACACCTCAGCTGGCCACCCAGGTGCTACAAGAAGTGCTCGTTGCTCACACAAGGCATGCTTGGTGCTCGTTGCTGGGGGCCGGACAAAAGGGCTTGTGGCAAGGCACTTGTGCCCGCGAGTTGCACGCCATGCGATGGGGTATCATGGGCCTAAGGCAGGAGACTTGACGAATCCATATAATCTATGTGATGACATACTACTGGTACCAGAGCTTGTGACATGCAAGTTTAAAGAGTATAGTCTATAGTCGTTGAAGAGAGTTGAGGCAGTTTCCACCAGATGCACCTGGAACCACCAGGTGCCCAAAGCCTGGTTCTGTTGGTTCCGCTTTCACTCACCAGGCGCCTTTACTCACCGAGTCGCGGCAACGACCTGCTGTTCACAGACGGGCTTGGCTTGTCTAAATCCCATGAACCTCAGGCGCAGTCGTTTTCCAGGGCGTTGATGCGGAAAAGGCACTGTTCTTTGACGGGGTTGTGTTGAGACATCGTCAACGACAAGGAACTGAGCATTCTTGCATACACCGATTATGGATGGAAAATTGTTTGGGGGCTTGCTGCGACACCTTGTGGTCAACACATGTCAACACCGTGGTCAAGCTATATGTTACATCATTCTTGAAACCGCGGAATCTCAGCAGCACTAACTAGGGACGTTGGTGGCGAAGAGGGAAGGTGATGGGAAAACAATTGCAATAGCAGCGCTAAGCATTTAATTCAATTCAGTCATGCTTAAACGCGCCCACACCGTATACACAAGAAATTCCCAGTACCATAATCAAGGGTTATTGGAGCGTACTGATAAAAATTGCAGTGCATGGGTTGCCTATGTGGTTTTGCAAGAAGAACATTAACATCAACTTGCTTCAAGCTCCGAACTGTTTCCTCTACAAAACCAGGCTTTGAGGTCATGTGCTTGTGTTTTTTCCCGCTCGCATCGGACCAACCCAGGGAGTGAAGGCAAGGCATGAAAGCAAGACACTCCAGTCAGACTTGTTGCCCTCTCATGAGTGGGCCATCTTGGGGTGATGTTGCATACAACCTTCCCGGACCGATATGTGAAAGCGCTCTTTCTCACTGCAGGACGGATTTCTTGGCCTTCCCGGTGGGCGGGGGCAAGGCGTGCAGCTTTTGGCCAGCGGCCAATCACCCGCTGGCTCAGGTTACACTCAGTCAGCAGCCGCGTTCAACATGCGTGCATGAACTGTGAACCTTTGCATGCTGAAGATGTTCCCATTTGTTGTCCACTCGCATTCGCCTGTGTGATTGCTTGGTGTGTTCAGTTATTTAGTCATTAGATTGCTCATGTTTTTCAAAGGTCTGCAGATATTTTCATCAGCCTCCGTGAAATCATGGGCCCTGTCGCAGGGTGATGGGCTGGCGGCGACACCAAGCAAGCCTCACAAGCCAATGAAGGTGCCTGCGCGGCTGTTCGCTGGGGTTCTTCATGAGATGTTGCACTTGCAAACCACCACTTTCAAGGCACACTCACTGACACGGAAGTCAGTCAATCTGGTGCAGCCGCATTCTTGGCCTGCACAACTGTGTCGGAAGTGTCAGGCGCTGACCGAGAAGACCAACACCACACAGGCTCTTCAGTTTCGTCGTGCAAGATTTGCTGTTTCATTGTGTTTTGACAGTGGTGCACACCTCGTGCGGAAATGTGGACATTAAATTGACAGAAAAATCTTCTATATATATTTTTTTAATCGACTGCATATTCCGTTTTGCAGTTTGCTCGATTGGAAGGACACTACGGCTGCAGTGTGAAAGCCGCTGCTCCCATTTGCGAAGACCAGCAAAGCAGGTCCAATTAACATAGCATACCATCAAGGGTTGAGTTGCACCCTCGCGGCAGTCTAAAGCACTGCAGAAGCACCTTGCACATCATTAAGGAAAAAAACAGATGCTGTGATTCTGGATGTAGAACATACTGTAACATACTCCAAATCTTTTCTGTGCAGATCACTCAATTATTTTGTATAATTTTCCCTTTTGGTATGTTTTGGTTGGGGTGGTGGGGGGGGCAGGGCGGAGCAAAAATCGGAGATTGGTCATGCTGCCGTTGCTTGCTCAACAAGGGAACCTGATCCCAGGCAGCCGCCGTCGGACACTTGGACCTCTGTGTGTTGATCGATTGAAGCATGTGGTCGAGCGCACATTCGTCACGTTCGATACGTCGTTTGCCCAGGTCACACGGTTGGCACCGGGATCTGTGCGACGTCAATGGCGTCGTCTAGGAGCCTGTTGCCACTCCTGACCCTCTTGGTGATTGCGCAGGACTGCGAATATGGCATTGCATTTTGATTCGTTTGATTGTTTTGAACCGAACTGTCATTTTTCTATACCAAGTTTGCATGCCTCAGTCATGTTGAAATTTGAGAATCATTTAGCCACTTAACCTTGTTTCCGGGATGTGATGTTTAATGATGTACGATGATTTTTGTTTGTCACATGGTCGATTTCAGTGATGTTTGGGACAGTTGCTCCGCAGGTCCATCAATGGTGTCCAACCTTTGTCTTTGGACCTTCCACGACCACCAGGGGCGAAGGAAGCAACATCGCGGCGAGAAGATTTGGATGTTTGTTTGTTGGTTTGCTGTTTGCTGACTTGATACGAACCGTACATATCCCTACCTGTTCAACAAACAGGTCAACAAAGACCTGTTTGCTGTTACAAGACTGAAATCACGCGAATCACGCTTTTCCTGTAGTTCTTCACAGGTGTTTTTTTCGTGGTTAAGGGATGTTAAGGTTTCAATGTTTCTGGTCACTCTTCCCTACCATGATGTGCCGAGAGATGAGTCGTTTCCGTCCGCGATGCGGGCCTCCTGCGCCCGTTCCACAAACGGCGGCGTCCGGTCGATCGCATCGCGGCACCTGAGGTAGTATTGCGATGCGCAGCCGGAGATTCAGGAAGCGCGACATTGAAGCCTTCATGAAACCGTCCCCGTGGGGATGCCCAGACCGGTGTTTTTTCGACCACCCGAACCCAGGAACTGTCAAGCCAAACTAGACGGGCTTGGGGATGCCCAGAACCAGGGTGCCTTAGTGCCTTATTGTTGTTTGAGCCGAATTCCGAGACTAACTTTAGAGGGGTAGGGTCAAAGGAAGACTACTTTGGCCGGAAGCCCTGTGAAACGCAGCTTGTTTGAGGATGATGACGGCAACAGCCACTTGGCGTGCAGAAGATGGACATAAAACGCACAAAACCCAAAATCAGAGCATGTGGTTCTTTGGACGTCTAGGTTTGCAGTGGTGAGGCATTTTGTTGTCCTTTATGACATACCCTTTGGTCAGGCAGCCGGAAAGAATACCGTTGACCAGTTGGAGAGTATGATAGACTGTTGGTCCAAGAAGCTACATGATGGTGTTTGGATTGATGGCTGGAGAATTACCAAACCCAAATCGCCGGGTCACTTTCGTTTGAATATCCACAGGCTACTTCACAGGCTAGTCCACAGTCATTTTGAGGTGTTTCCTTACCAGAAATGTTGGTACAAGGTGGTACAAGGACAGGACAAGTCTTTGCCAGGAGGTACGGCTAGAATCTACCGAAATGGTACTGGGATGTAATGGGTAAAAGGCCAGTCTTGGAATCTGAAAATCTAGGTGTCATCGAAAATCAACATGTAACACACTCCACAAAAGGATGACATACAAAACAGGGAGAATCATCACACCCAGACCAGATTTGATGCCCTTTCATGTTGCAAAAGATGTTTGGCCATCTCTCACCTGCAGATTGTTTGGCCAACAACAGATGGTACTTGGGTAGCCCAATTCCTCATTCATTACATTCAATTACCCCCTAGAAAACACAGAGGAACAATGAATCTGCGATTCCTTTCTTCATCTCTGAGTTCATGGGACTCTATCCTCTTGAGGAAGATTATCCTGCATTGACCCTGGGAAGAAATGTTTGGCGCTAATCATCCAGGCGCATGGAGTGCGTGGGAGTAGTGACTCGGGGCGTTTGAAGACCAGGCGGAGCAGAAGGACGACGAAGCCTTCGTGGAGGAGAACATCAAGGGTGATCCTAGGTGCGGTGCAAGAGAAGAATGGTGGGGAAAATTTGGAGATGTTACCGCTACTAGTGACAGGTGCATCGCTACTAGTAACAAGGGCAAGCTACTAGTAGCGATGCCCTTGTTAATAGTAGCGACGTCTATTGATTTTGGAGATGTCCATTTCCATTTGCCGCAGTGAGCTCGAGGCTCGTAGATTTTGTAGGACCTCTTGCTTGCTTCACAAAAAAGCGGCTTACGGGTCCCAGGGGCTTCGCACATGCTTCCGAGCGGCTGCAAAAAGATATCGACTTCATCATGAAGATGCTCAGGTGCCAAAGCAGCGACAAACGCCGATCCTGGTAGCGTGCGCAGGTAGCAAGTAGGTGACCAGACCGTGGGAAGCACACGGTGATACATGTGTATATATATATATATACATATGAGATCATATGAGCATTGTCGCTAACATATCATTTGATGTTACTTCTTTCATGGTTGGAGGATTGGTCGGAGCATTTCACCATGCTTTCAAGTATGTCGAAGTTCAACAACACCAGTGGAGTCCAAACAATTCCTGGAACATTCAGGGGTGATTGGATCCTCGAGATCTGAAGATGTACTTTGTGCATCCCTTTGTCATTGTTGAACATGGCAGGAAAAGCAACTTCACACCGTGCCAAGCTACATTGCCCCCCATGTCTCAGAAGACCCATTCTTTGGGGGGGAAAAAGTGGATGGGGTTCCACTTGCTGCCTTCTTGCCAAAGGCCTCATCCCATGTACATCAAACATGCAGAAACCAACAGGACACTGTAAGCTAAGCTTGCTGTTTGCTTGAGTTCAGTGAGTTTCACCCCGTGCGCATCGTCCCTTCCACGCTCCCTTCATCTCGGTGCTTGGGAGGGTGAACCCCCGAGTGGTGGACTACGTGCACCCAGAGGTCTTTGCAGATGAAGATGTCAAGGAGGAGACGTGTGACGTCAAGCTGGTCTCATCATATATCTACATATACATATGTAATTATAGTGTAACTTGCTATGTTTGGCTTGACAAAATCAAGCCCAGGAGCTTCAGCGGGAGTATCATGCTCAGGGCTATGGCGGCTGGCTTTTCGGTTGCACTTGATGGTAGGGTTTTCGGAGGCAGCTTGTTTGGCACATCACTCAACGTTTCCTTTGTACTAACAAGTGCATCGCTACTAGTAGCTTCTTGTTACTCGTAGTACTGCCCTTGTCACTAGTTGCGATATGTAGCGATGCACTTGTTAGTAGCTTCTTCCTGCTAGTAGCATCCGGCTTGGCCCATTTTCATCCGGGCCCTTGCAGGCGTTGCAAACAGTCAGTGTGAAGGTTACCCGTGACAACACAGGTGTGAAAAGCAGTCTTGCAATGTCGTTACCCGGGGACGAAGCGGACGTCACATGGTTTGCAGTGGGAAACTAAGTCAGATGGTTCACGTTCAGAATATCTTCGATCTGAACCGAGTTCTGCCCTGCTGCTCAGGGTGAATTGACTTGGGACCTGAGCCTGTTCCTCTTCCATGTTTGTGCACGTACATGTATGTGCTTGGCTTTAAATCCGAAAACAGCGTCACAACCACCAAACATGCTGAATTGCAAAGAAACATGTCCCCACCTGCAAGACCATTCATCCTTGCACAACAAAACCACTGCGATCCTTCTCAAGATTTCGGAAGTAACCCTGGCATTCGATCACTTGGTCGATGTCAGACTCCCCTAGCCCCTTCTAGATTTGCAACATCCATCCACACATCCTCACTGCTCAGTTTGGGATTCTCCTTCTATCCAGCTTGGATCCCCTTTCGATGAAATGATCCTCGGGTTTGGACCTCTCATCCGTCCTGAGGATTTACTGGCACGACACTCCCTACAACTTCTGGGGCCGTGGTGGCCGCACCAAGCTCGCGATGATGCCGAAAGGCCAACCACAAGCGAGGCGAATCAGGCTGTGAGGCCTGGAGACGAAGCGAAGCGTTTTTGTCCGAGACGCCTGCGGTGCGTCGTGTCGAGTGATTGTTAAAGGCTTACGCCTGACAGCCGCCGGCCTGGAGGAGGACAGGGAAGAGAGGGGTGAAGGAAGAATGGAAAGGTGTTATGTACGTGTATGTAGCTAGATAGGTAGGTGGCGGTGGCGGTGGTGGTGGTGGTGGTGGTCGTCGTCGTCGTCGTCGTAGTAGTAGTAGTAGTAGTCGTAGTGGTAGTCGTAGTGGTAGTCGTAGTAGTTGTTGTTGTTGTTGTTGTCGTCGCCGTTGCTGCTCTGGACGGGTTGTGCATACATGCCTGTTAGTTTGTGTGTCTCTCTGTTTGTATGTCTTTTGTTACTGAGTGCCGATAATGCATGGCAACCCGGACAGCATAACTTGCATCACCAACCTTTTTGAGACGCCATGCATGCGGCACACAAACATCAAAAATTGCAAGGCCACCAAGCACTGTAAATTACAGTGCCATTAGCGACACAGAGTTTGGTTGGCTGCGTGCGAAGCTCCAGCAGGCCCTCTGGGCAGGACCCGAGGACCCAGGGTGAAAATGTCGCTGCTTTAGCAACATGATCGAAAACACCGGCGCTGGGGGTCACAGAAATGTAAGGCAAGTGACCAAAACCGTTGCTTCTTCCTCCCTTCGTGCATCGCCCAGCACTTCCGAAGCCCTTTCAGGAACATGCTCCGTGAAAACGCTCACGTTCATCGATTATCATGGATTGTATAACACAGGGTGCCTTTCACATACTGCACCTCCAAAAAACGATGAACTCTTGGTCCGGCCAAAGTATGTCGGAATGTTTGCTACTTGTGATTTAACCCAAGATTCTAGTTCAGGTTATATGGTACCATCTACGATATTTGTTCTAGATGCCTCTGGTTCATACAGTAGGAACATCACCCGTCCCAATGTAAAATTATTTCACCGGACCCGTCACCTACTAAAATAATTTTTTTAAAATAATTATAGCTGTATATTATTTGGGGCAACCCCGTTGGTGGTGGGTGCCAGATTAATTAGGAGAGGTGGGTATGAGGTACCCTAAAATAATTAGCGTCGTATGAGAAGCTGAAGGTCCACCACCTACCAAAAAAAATTCAATCATGATGAAGTATGTATATTATGAAGGTAGTCCCTAGGAGGTCAAGGACCTATTAAAATAATATAAATTAATTAAACATAATGATATTTGACGATCAAGAGACCCCTGAAATAATTTCTGCAGAAGGCTAAGCAAAGGATGAGGAAACGGTTAACTACTATTTTGAAACAACTAATGCATATGATACATGACGATCAAGAGAC